AATCGAGTTTTTCTAAAAAAAAAAAAAATCGCGAAAATCGACTTTTCGATACATGAAATCGATGCGGCTCGACGAGATAAAAACGAATCTGGGCGTATTTTTGCGCTAGGACGCATAGGAAGCGAGATAATCGCAAAAAGTTGGAGGATATTCACCAATTATACACGAAATATGAGAATTTATTATTATTATCGTTTTCCTTGTTATCAAAATAATGTGTTTTATTGAAATATTTTGAATTTCATCTGAAGGAATGATTGAATACAAGATATTTAAATACTACTGCAACGTCAAATGGAAATAATGATTAATACAAATGAACACTTTAGAAAATAAATTACACATATTCGGATAATCAATTATCATAATGTCTGCAGAGTCTCGATATCGAAAAAAAGAAAGAGCAATGGAGACAACGCCTTCTTGGAAAGCAGAGAGATCATTCGCCTTATACCAATGTTGTTTCCATTTTCACCTCATGCACACGCACGAAATGAGGAAATGAAAGCCAAGTAAAAGGTACTAGACTCATCCCCGAACTAATTATGAATTTTTACATTGATTATTCCTCCCTATTTCATCGGAATACGTCACGGATTCATTGATACAGCGGAGAAATAATTTCTAGATATCGAGAGGAATAACTGATCTCCACTATCTTCAACCAATCTTCGCAGGTTGTTAACAATGTGGGTCATTCCATTGGGTTTTTTCCTTTAATTCATTTTTAATTCACTGATCTAGAGATTCGATGAAGGAGATTTAGAGTTGTAAAGTGAATTTATGACTCGACAAAATTCTCAACGGATGGAAAGGCGATTCACTTTCATTTGCGTTCTGCATGCAGAATAGGGATTTTCGGTGGTGGTGTGTAAAATCAACCTTGGATCGAGGATTGCAAAAATAATGAGAAGAAAGTGAATGAGAAATCATGGATGCGCAGGTGTTTGGCTATTTTCAGGGTGATATATTTGTATTGAACATTTATTCCGCGTCAATGAATTATTTGCATGAGAAAACAGCTGGCAAACACTTGAAAGCATTTTAATATTTTGTTTTTAATTATTTTCACTTGGGAACGAACGCCTGTAGGTTGTTAATTGAGATATGGACGAAATTCAACGGCTAGTGTTATATTGTGAAAATTATAATTAATATATAATTAATATTCAATCGGAAAATAAACAGTAATTTATTAGCGGAAACAATCGATAATTATTGATAAAGTATCCACTCGCCAGTTTTCTGGATTATTCTGCATGAATTTTATTTCTTGTTTGAAATTACCAATAAGTCTTCCATTAATGTACACAAGCGTAATCACAGACTTGAGTCATTCTATTCATTAGTTCGGTATTGCGCTAAAGAGAACGTCTTGACATTTTTCCTCGAAATTACTCGGTTCTGGCATAATGAATAATTAACGGAAGGTTTCTGGTTGATTTAGTAAATTTATTTTCCACAATTTTCGAGGGAATGGCAGTAAATATTCTTCGCAATATTAATATCCGAATATATTTTATATCGGCAGTTTAATAACAGAACGCCACAAGAAGTGCCAATAATTTTCAATCGAACAAAAATTGAAGAATAACGAAAAACAATAAAAGAAACGACGGAATTAATTTTCTGTTTGTTTGTTGTTTTAAATGCGAGATTATACGGTTTTCTCAAACGAAGTTGATAACAGTATTATCTAGTTTTTCTGGGGACGTAGAACAGATGATAAATGGATCGATATTTAGGTGTCATCTGAAAAATAAAACGAACAGCAATTTTTTTTTCTCAATTTTAGTATGAAGGCCTATTATTATTATCGTTAGTGATGCTCCACTCGCGTAACAATTGAATATTACATTGTAATAATGTTTAAAAATACAAATTAATAAATTGTAAATATAAAAGTAAAGAATATCATCTCTTCAGCACGAACGAAGCATTTACGCTCAACTCTAATAACAACGGTTAAAAAATAAAGTTATTTATATCCGTTACAATACAAATGGGATGAAACTCGATTGATGAAATCTCAATTATTGCCATGAAGTAAAAAAGAGTAAAGTGGAAGAATCTAGTTTTACATAAAGATTTTTCGAACACCTGGAGGTTATTTTGCAATTTTTTGTTAGACTAGTCAGTTTAAAACAAAATGACAAATAGAATTTCTTCATGTTTCAATAAATGAACCGGTGAAATGTCTTCTGGAAGTTTTCCAGAATTGTTACTGGTTGTTATTAGAAAAATTGAATAACAAATAAATAAGAGTTCCGAATAGTCTTGAAATGCAATTGTAATTAATTGCAGTGCGCAGCAACGATTGCATTTTAATTCTCAGTATTGTGAATTCTTATGCATTTGAAAATCTAATCCTTCATCAAAATTTTGTATTCATTTTTACGATAGAAGAGAATTATGATTTCAATGCTGAAGATCAATGCATTTCAGCTATTATTTTCATTATTTTATAGACCGGATAAATTCCAGTTTCATTGAATATTTAAAACCTGAATTAGTATTTTTATTTTTTTGAAAATTTAGTTGATTGAATTAAAATCTCAGGAGTAATTTCCTAACAGTTAAGAAAAATATTCCGAAATACTTCGGTAGACAATAAAATTGTCTATCAAATAAATAATTTTAGAAACGCAAAATAATCAGCCAATCAGTTTGGTTCGCGTTCGTCTGTTAATTTGTTGTTACTTAATTATCAAAATTGTAACGATTGATTGTTTTTTCGATGCTCTTCCCACAGAGGAAGATATTTGAGCATTTCTCGTCTTTCTAGGTCTTCAGAATATTGACAAAATCTACGAAATTCTCGTAATTTATAAATGACCAGGAAGTCGATAGAATCAAGTACGAAATCACCACCTGACAAAACATTTTCAATTGTAAAAAGCTATAACATCAACAACAGCAAAATATTCTGAACTTCGATCCTCGCGAGAATTTCATCCCACGATATGAAACACATCCCACCCCTAATCATCTCCATCAACTTAATGAAATGGCGCACCTCTTGGAGAAACAAATCTTTATCAATTAAATTTTATCACTCATCCACACCCCTTAAACACAAGATTACAATACAGAGGCACTAAAAATATTGATTGAAAAAAAAAATGAAACATCTAAATAAAAAATAAACTCATAATTTACAACATGACTCAACAACGTTTTATCGTAGACAGGTCGTTTAAAGGCTCGCATGCCTTTAGCTCTTCACGTTTTATTTCATTTTTATTCGTCTGACCAGTGAGAAAAATTTTCACAGAGAAATAAATAAAATAATAAAGAACAAAATGGTAAGAAAATTGTAAAGTAAGATAGAGAGGGAAGGATTTTGTCGAGGTTGAGAGAAAGAGAGGATGAAGAAGAGGAGGTCGGAAGAAGAAGAAGTACCAGCCGATAATGAAACGGCGTGGCGAGACGCACAGGCTGATTATAGCGACGATATATCAATGTTTCAACGATATACCGGTTAATTAAATACTTCATTAATCCATTAATCAATGGGGCATAAAATAATTCGCATCGTGTTATCATCTTTACGACTTCAAACATTTCCTATTCGTTTTAGTTATCCATTTTGCTCTATTTTCTTCAATTTGCTCCGAGTGTTTTTTTTTTGTTTTTCATTCTTTCATTTTTTCTGTTCAGAATTTTTAGTTTGACCTGTTATTGGATTTTTCGTTTTTCATGATTCAGTAGGGATCGAGGGCAGCTAGCCCCAGTCTCGGTGGCTCGGCATAACTATGACGATAACGTCCAGGAGTTGGCAGAATCTCCATACTCTGTCTTGTCTCGCGATCCAGGTATTTCTCGTGCCTTGGAATGTCTTGATAGACTGGACGAATTCTCTGCTTCTCCCGTAAGTCACGGGAATGTCGATCTCGAGCCTCTCGAATCTGAAATAAAATGAGAAAATTCAGAGACTCATTGATACCTCGTAGTATTGAATCCAAAGATCATTTCCCTTGAGTTCTAGATCATTATCTCGGAATTTAACGGTTTCACATATTATTTTCCCGTGGGATGATGAAAACTGTTCTTTATAAAATGTGTAGGATACAGAATTTTATATTTATATTTATATTTTTATATTTATATTTATATTAATAGAGCCGCGCTTATTTTCAGATTCCTTCATTTTTAATCACGGAAATTTATTCGATTTCATCCCCACAAGTACTATCTATTGAACTTATTGTAATCTTTGGTTTGAATTTTATCTTATCACCTAGAAATATTTCTGAGCTCGAGTTTCATTTTCATTTCTATTAAATGTATCCTTTTGCACGATCATAGCGGCTGCATCATAAACTGCGGATTTTTTAATAAAAAATTCATACAGAAATTTTGTCAACAAAATTTCATATCTCACGTAATTCATGTTATTGTTCGATTGGTACTTCTTGCTACTTAATGATGAAGAAATAGATAAAAAAAATATCTTGACATTTTGCTTGATGATCGATAAATTTGAAAAGCATCGTAAAGACAATCGTATACATTTGTTTATTCATCATTTGAATGGGAATGATTTTATAGCCCACCTCTCTGTGATCAATCATATGTCTCTGCTCCCTGGGCTCTCTTCCACTGGATGAATTATCGTAGAAACTCCTAGGTCTAGGTCTAGACGTGACTTCAGGCTCAGCCGGACGATCCGATGAGTAATGTTGTCCTCTGACCCTCGGCCTATTTCTATAATCACTCCTCTCACGTTCTTTTTCACGTTCCAACTCAGGATGACTCCTTCGAATCATATGGTCATGGTGTACCGGAGTCGACGACGAATTGTTGGATATATGACGACTCGTGCGATCCTCGTGGATCAACCTGGATTGATCCACCCTGAAAATATAAAAATTATAAATCAGAAACAGCACATGATTATGACGTAATAGAGTAATTGAGTAAATTGCTGTGAACAAAATACTTCAATCAATCAATAAAATTTCAACTATTCCATTGATACAATCCACTGTTTACATTAAACATTGAATTGGATAAATTAATCGGTATGAAATAACGACACTGTATTGGTAGAGACAAGAAACCATAAATAAGTCACTGGCCAAAGGCAATAATTTCACTCGCACCAGACTCCCTTTCTACATCGGACTCAAGATACAACTTTCTGATCTAGCTACCGCAGATTTCCATCGTAGACAGGTCCAACTATGGATTTTAATGGGTGGAATGATTTATCACCGGTTTGCTACGGCATTTCTAAAAACCGATCAGAGGAATTTACACTTTATTGATGAAAATCATTGCCATGACGTATAATCCCAGTAACAAGTGTGCTGTATGTTTTTCAATAAAATGTTGAGGGTAGTAAATGAAAATTCGGTGAAACCAGTTATGCAAAGAAAATACTCGATGAATGCATTATCTTGTTTTACGCTTTCAAACCAGAATATATTTTTGTTTGCTTTCATCATAGTTTACGACTTTTCTTATGAAGAAAGACTCGAACTGAATAAAAATAGTTTTTACAACTCAAAGTTAGATAAAACATAGAGTGTCTCATTTATGTACGTCACTCATTACAAAAGCGATTCCATAATCACTAGATTACGTAGTAGATAACGCTCGTCGAATTTCATTCATGATGAGACCATTCACCAATTTATTGTAAATAAGAAATATTTAGCTCTCAATTTATAAAATTATTTGTAAAACTAGTCGTTACAGTTTCAAATAGTTTTTTTCAATACGTAAATAAATAATAATAAGTTTTTTTTAATTCCATCGTTTCATAAGATTATTTTGAGATTTGTGAGACCAAAAAGCCAAAGACTTTTTGTAATTTATAAAATTCAGTTTAAAAAATATTTTAATGACTTCTGAGATTGATATTTATTGAGTCAAAATAAATCCATTTTTCAAGAATGACTCGGTAATCATTTCAGCAATAAATTGTTTAATAAAAAAACTGTCAAGGCGTTTTTTTCGTAGCTCAGACAATGTTTAACAAATCTTTTAATGATTTATTTCCACATAACTCTCCGCTGAGATAATCGACCAATAACTCATGAATTATGAAGTCTCGAATCGTTTAACAGTTATCGATATATACAATCATTTTACTGTTGGAAATCCTTTTATCGGTTTTCATTGTCATAATTTTTATCCTGTTTATACTTCATCAGCTATTCCAGAATTATTCATGACCCCTTGCGAGGCTTTTCAAGCCTCCAAGGACATGAACGGAATAAATATCTGCATTCCGTAATTATTATATCATAATGCTCAAAAAATTGAAGAGTTAACTTATAATTCTGTCGACATGCACTTGGGCACTGCCATTGTCATTACTCTCACTGTGCAACGGGTTTTCGTGTCTTTTTTTTTTTATGCTGGGGTTCTTTACACCGGTGATCACTCGAGGTAATCCACGAACTGGGAAATTAAAGTCTCATCATAATTATCAAAGGCACAAGGTGAATGAGCATAGATCCCTGTGGCGGAATAGGAAATTGGGGGAATCACAAAAATTTCCCGTTTTTCTGGCATTGAAGAAATTGATTTTCAAACTGGAACTAATTATTAATGCAATAATCATCAGTTGTTGTCACTGATTTTTTAGATTATTCAAAAAGTTATTTCAAAATGTTTTTGTCATTTGAAATTATGTAATTATCTGAAGAAATTTTTTATACATGACGACAAAGTTAAAATCGTTGATCTCAAAGCAAAACAGATTCATCTTGTGCTAGTACTTAGCAAGTGAATTATTACATACATACATCAGCGGAGGAAATAGTTAACGCTAATAATGCGCAGTCATTTGCAATTTACTATTCATTAATAAACGATAATTGCATACCTGTGCTTTTACATAATAACGCATTGCTCATTCATTTTCTGTGTTTTTACTGCAATTTAACAGCTAATTAAATCATGTAATTATTTTTCTGTCAATATTTGTTTCATAACAGAGAATTAAACTAAATAAATGGCTCCATTATCACGCATCGCAACAACACCTGAGATTTATTTTTCCATAGAATCAAATAATGTAAATTAATTCTATCGTAAAATCGGAGATTCAAATTTTGTCCCAGAACTTGAAGAAATTTCTACCAACTGAAGATTTTCACGGATTTATTCTAAAACTTTCAATTATCAAGGTGTCATGCAGCAGATAAACTTGTTCCACTGAGTTTCATAAATTCCTTAATGAATTATTCATAATTTCACAGCTCCAATAACAGCGCCAGCCGATGCGAATAATTTCCCTTTATTGAGAATTAACGAGGGATCAATGAATACCAATTACTGTCTCGCGATTTCAATTCACCCAATGCCTATTTTCTATTTATTTTCAACTGACGAGCGTAAAATTTCGATACACTCCCCTTTAATACGCGATTCCTTATCGGACGATTTGAAAACTCGTTGAATAATAGATTGTAAGCCCACCTGTGCATTCCGTGGTTATCGTTTTGATCTCTGGGCCTTGTAATTATACCTCGGGAGATGTTCTCCCTCTCCATGGCCTTGAACATCTCCTTGGCATCTTGGAATCTCTCCCGGGGGCTTGTCACTTCGAGTGGATCAACTTTGGGTTGGTACTGAGGACTTGGAGACCGTTGACGGTGTTCTGGAGCCCTTCGGGCACGATTGTGAGAATTCGGAGAAACTCCTCGTGTCAAACCCACTGGACGCTCTGGACTCCTTGGAAGACGCGGTAACACGACATTTGTTGTTTCCTGGAGGTACTCGGCATCCTCCGGAGCATTTCCCCAGTCTTCATCTGGAATTTTATTTTATATTTTTATTAAACCACTGTAATGGTCACAAAAAATAATAACAAAAAAGAGGAAAAATAGGTACAGTGTGAGAAATTGAAATATCTTGGATATATATATTGGATATATTGGAATATATTGGAATAGATTGGAATATATTGGCTATTGAAATAATTGAAAAATTTTTAAAAGATCTTTTTAAAAGATTTTTAAAAGATTTTTTCAAGACGAAGACATTTTTTCAATTTCATTATGAATCAATGGCATTAGTTTTTTTAATTACATAATTGAGCTTATGACTCCTTTCTTCAGCAATAGGATCCACAACCCTGAACGGGTTCCATGGACTCGCCCACATCCATACATGAACATAAAATTCACGAAACATGTACTGACTATTACGCGCTGGGATCATCCGTATAAATAAAATTGTACATCTCCACGTGGGCCGTGGTACGTGACATCACGCCATTTTGTCATTGACACTTCTTCGGGGCAATAATTATTATTGACGAAAGTATGTACCGTTAGGAGGAAAGGAATGTAATAAAAAACTTATGAAAAATTCATTGAGCTATTAAAAATTGGAGTATGAATATTAAAAATATATCTTTCACTGAAGGTAAAAAATAATTTATGGTTTGAGGATTGAAGAGATTAAAACATTAACAGAAATTTTGACAGCATTAAAATTCGGTCATGAATAAAGGAACACGTTTAATTAATTCAAAGTACATGTTTATGACTACTCCGTAAAGAATATAATAAATGACGATGTGAGTACTAATTCATGATTATTGGAAGGAATTAATTAATTGAAATCTCATTAGAGAGTGAGGATTTTTTCTATTAAATAGTGCTGTACCTTGTAGATAGATTTGAAATCGAATTGATGACCTAACGGATCATGAAAAATGGAGGTATTTATGGAGATTTATTTTAATTTGCATGTGCAATCAGATTTTTAATAGTACGGAAAATCAGACACCTAAATAAAACGTGAAGCAATAGAAAATAAAAATCTATATCTCATAAACAAATGGAACAAATGTCATTTTGCAAGAATTATCTTCTCTATTAAAGGGCAATCTTTTCTTTTTGCTCGGTGCAATCCGCTAATCGTCGAACAGATAGCTTAATCGAATTAAACTGTAGCTGTAGTTTGTTGAGAGCAAAACTTATTGAATAATTTGAGTGGTGGAAAAAGCCGAAGATTTAACATTTAAAATAATCGCGGGCCACAATCGCCACCAATTAGCATTTAATTATCTTCATTGAATAGTCCAACAAGAATTAGCATAGATACAGGCTCGGGGCTCATGATTTCATGGAATTAAAGAGCGAATCTTCTTTTGAATTTCATTATTTCATTATTTCTCAAGGAGTCATTGCTGGTATCTTCTCATTCTGTATGCTTTTTCCTGCGAATTTCAGTACATTAAAGAAGAATACCACTAAGTGAAGACACCGAGAATTTAAAATGGCATTGAGCACAATCACAATCAATTGGCATTTACTTCTCTCGTTATTGAACAACTACGAATTCATGTCGACACAATCTCCAGACGCCGAAAAAAAGAGGAGAAAAATAAAGAAGACCCCGAAGGTAGATCTCCACTGCTGATCAAAGATAATGTAAAATGGGCACTCATGTAGGGAATATTGCTGATGCAAGGAGGCCACGAGGTTTCCTGCAAATACCATTCTCCCTCTCCCATACAATGAAAAAGATTGAAAAAATCCTAAAATTGTTGTACCGAATGGGAGAGATCCGGTGATTGGTGAAAAGGCCTCGACAATTTAAAAATTCAATCTCATGGTGTTTGAATGGTTTTTGTTGGTGAGGGTCGAGGGCATCTTCAAAACAACTGGAATACTTTTGAATTGTATGGAATCGGATGGAGGCATGGAGTTTGCTGGAGGATAGGACTGCCTGAGGCTGTGGGCCGAGAATGCGGAACCTTCTCACGGAGATGCCGGTGAAGTTGAACATGTTGATTCACACACGAATTTACGATGCCTACCTGTTGAAGAGAAGAGAAATAAGGAGTCGAGATATATGTGTGACATCGACACCATGGATAAACATTACCAGTGGTTCTTCAACATTGCGGTTGTGTTCCATTAACTATTGGTTTTGAAAAGTAGATTCACTCGACAATCAATTCGTCTGTCAATCCACGAAATTCTAATAGTGGAACTATGCGAAAAAAATCATTAAAAACGACAAAGTAAATGGCTTTTTGTTTTATCATTATTTGGTGACTCACGGAATTTTTCCTAAATGTCCCGAGGAAATTTCCAAATTTAAAAAAAGGAGAAAAATAGTCACGAGAGTATGGAAATTGTGGTGGGTCATAGGATAATTATAAAATTCAAAAATCGTATTTTTGGGAGCATCGATTTGATAATGATATTTTCGTTAATTAATTCATAATGATAAAGATGTCAAACTGTAATGTAAACGGAAGGTAGAAATTACATTATCCGTTTTAAATTGAACTCGATGCCACTCTTCTTAACATTACCGCATACAAAATGACTTTTACCCCAAATAAATTCAGCGAGAAAGTGGTGAAATGATGCAGTACCACATCGTAATTACCTAATACCATCCGATATTTATGGAACAATCTCGAAAAGGACTGGGAATATATTTGCTACAAGAAAATGCAAATTTATTCACCTTCCACGTAAAAATTCTGACATTTGTCTTGATATCACTTATTCCTGAAATTACATCACTAAGAAAGTTGTCTTGAGCATCATCTCCGATGAAATTTGAACAGAGATCAAATTTCTTCGCCTCAATCCTGATAATTAATTAAAAGGTCTACTCAATAATTGTCGTTATAATTGTCCCTAATTTCTGTCCAATAATTTTATAAACTTTCTCTTGAATGGTCGGATTTCCAGTCTGGCAAATATCCCTAACGAACTCTGGAGATTTTCACTGCCTTTCTTTTTCGATAATCGATAATCTTTTACAATGCTTTTACGTTTAATGAACGCTCCAGCACGTTCATTCTTTTTTCCCTGGACGAATTGACTGAGGCGATTGTCTTAAAAAAATTGATGCGAGAATTTTTCTTTCCAATGATCTCCAATATTTTGTCATCAACCTCTATAAAAATTGCCATCTAGAAAGATTGCTCCCTGAATGGATTCCTTTAGATTGAACTGACCTATCTAAAGTCATTACGCAACGATGGAACATTATCCAACAATGTCGGTAACGATTAAAAATCAAATTTCCGGGTGTTCAGCATCCTGACATTTATCGGTCGATGTCCCATCGTGAGGATGAGAGAATCGAGCTAATACCAGAGATTGCTGCAGTCGTGAAAGGGTGACACAACAACTTTCAGTCGAGTTTTTGGAAAATATCTTGGGAGACGATTCAAAAGAGAGAGTAAAGTTCAATGGAATCCTGGTGAGGTCCTGATACACTCCTCTGCATCCAAAGATATTTATATTCAGGAGTTATTGCCCATATTTTCTCATTTATCAAATTTGTTTTACAAATTTCTGAAATACTTTTGATGAAATTGACGTGAAAAAAGGACCGTTCTTAAGTTTTAATATCATCTAATATAATTTCTAAAGTTTCATTACAATTTTTCTATGTTCTCAATAAACTTTTACAAAAATAATGAAAATTTTACCGAAAATTTAGAGAAATTAAACGCATGACTGAAAATTTGGGGGTCACTGCCCAACGATAAAATCAAAAAATGATACATTTTTTTGGTGGCGGTCTTCGTGCGAATATTGAAGCATAACTCGGTGTGGTGTATTGTAATGAGAATATGTATTTATTGGCGAGGTGTGTTTACATTGGTTGAACTAATTAGACTAGCTATTACTCGAATTATTATTACTCAAATTGTTGTGTATGAATGTTGCAGATAGACTTGATATGATCTCTTTTATTGGAGAGCGTGCGGCTTTATATGCCCTCGTTAATTAAAGGTGCTAGTTGTCCTGAAATTTCGTGAGGGACAAGGGCGAAGCCATATTTATCTCGATTTCTCACTCGGATAATATTCGAGACGTTACGTAAGTCCCTACAAATCATCATAAGTCCAATAGAATTGGGAAATTCCAGTTGCATAAGTCAGTCCGCAAATGACCAGTACTTTGCATCTAAAATTACTTTTCGTCCCGTGTAAATTAGAAAATAAAAGCATTCAACTTGGGAAAATGCGCCGAAAGGGAAAAAGTGGATATGTATTTATCGCAGTAAATATTCAACTTCCTCTGAATAAATTGTACAGATCAATGATTTTGAAGTGGTTTCCTTCAGCTTCTTTTTGCATTCAGGTTAATTCCATTTAATCTGAATTTTACTTTTCATAATTTTACGTTATGACTCAGACTTTCCAGTGAATCATTTTTTTTTTAAGGGGCACAAATGAGTTTCGACCGGCGTAGCAAAATTTACATAACAATTCTTTAGGCACTTTTCACCCGACTGTATAAAAAATTTCGTGCAAAAGGAATTTTTAAGTGAAGTTCACTCATTTAATGATTACCACCGGATTCCTCGGTGTTGTTAACTTTAAAACGATTTGGCGAGTCAAGGAGATTAACAGTACAGTTTTATGCAAAACAGGAGAACCACAGAGACTCGGCGTGAACGAAAGAGTTAGAAGAATTCCGTGTTTAAGTAGCAGAAATATCTAAACAGAATTTTAATTTTTCATTTCATGAATAGCTCTCTGTAGGAGCCGCCATTCTAATCAATTCACATATCTAATCAATAATCAGATTATCCCAATGATAATTAATTGACCAACAAATCACCCAACATTCCTCAATGATAGAAAATTTCCGCTGATCTTCAAAGGAAACTTCTCAATATTTACTTTTGAAAAACATTCATGATTTATTCATAATCGTAATTATCAATTAATTATATTTTTCTTAAATAATTTAGAAAAAATTCAGGGAAATTTTTGCCCCGTTATGACATTTTGGAAATCATTAAAGAATTACAAAATGCAAATACCGTATATTTTTTCGCGTCAATCTGATAAAAAAATTTATCGGAAAACTCAAAAAAAAAAAAAAAAAAAAGTTTTAATTAAAAGGGAATGGAACTCCCGGGAGTCCATCGCAAAATAGTTGAATGATTATCCTGATCTGAAATAATCAGGAAGTTGATTTCAATTCCCATTCGCCGATCGATGATGGACATCACCGCAATATCACTCTACCTAGCCTTCAATACCCAAGAATTGATATACACGCATTAATCCCCAACCGGGTTACACACAATCGTGAGTTTCCTTGACTTTCGAATGAGGTAATCCTCATCATCAGGTTATCAGGATGAAGAGTCCAAGGTAATTCCAACCACTGACTACCAAAAACCTTCCCCCAATCACGAAGTGGGGCTCTAATCAGTAGACGTGTCATTAACGAAAGGTGAAAGAGAAAAATAAATGTGGAACGAATGAAGACTAAAAGTAAAGTAGTAATCTCAGCGTTACCAAACTCTCACGATAACTCCAGACAGAAAAAAAAAACTGGGAGCGGAAGTTACGCAAATATATTGTAGAACTGTTGATAAAGTATGCCATGTGCCTGTGATGCCCGCATATCCAAAGTAGGCAAAAGGCTTGAGCATTAAAGTGACTTTACGAGGACACACCGAAGCCATACACACAAAATACAAAAGCAACAATCATATACACACAGATAAAAGGTATGAAGGTGCGTGCTACCTGTCGCCTGCTACGACGTCCTAACGGTAAAATCAACCTGGGGTATACACCTTCCAACGCAACAGGTGCCCAATGCTCTCAGTTCATTCTCCATCCTACTCACTTCAATGTTTGGATCCACCTCACTGACTTTTGCCAGGATAAAACTCCACACTGCCTTTACTTCAACGCATTCCACTTCCCTCATCATTAATTCCAGTACACACCGTCTACCTCACTCCTACCTCTTCACCATTTTTATCATTATTTTTTTCTTGTTTCATCTGTTCTTGGTTTGTTTCTTATGCTTCATTTTTATTTTTTTAACACTTCACTTATCGTTACTTTTTCGTTTTTCACCTCATGTGGGTCAGTGGCCCATTAAAATCGCGTGACCGCAATGACGGTGAGATCGACGGACTCTCAGTTATGATTTATGCCGGTGAATTAAATCATGATGTTTTATTGAGAATTCGTTTTTTTTTATTTTGCATGCACTCAGTGGTCATCAGGTACCACCAAATGAGTCTATTCTACTTGGGAATCGGTCAGATGTTGGATATTACAGCTAATATGAATAAACAAATAGACATACCTATTACTCTAGATATAAACAACTTGTCGCTAAAATCTTTGGAATTATTTCTTAATTACCATCAGAGTGAAAAAATTGTTTAAATTGTTTTTCATCCAATTTACGCTTCTCTCGACTGGAAAATGCAAAAAGATGAAAGTCCCTGATTTTTAATTGCCCGTTACAAGTGAAAGATTGCAAAAAATTAAATAGTCATTAAAAATTGATTGATTACTCGTAAAAATTGGTGTTAATAGTTCAACTTGGTAATGAGCTGTAAACATTTGTTGTGGCATGTTTATGTTTAATGACATGTCAATCATTTTATATTGTGGCGGAACAATTTCTTGAAAAGATAAAACTACGTGAAAATCGAGTAAATGGAATAGATTTTGTTGATGTTTTTTTATATGGTACTACTACGATCTATCATATTGTTGGAGTAATGAGTCATGAAATCATGATGGGTTGAATTAATAATCAACCTAATTTTCTCTTCGCCAAAGGCCGTGAAAACGCTTAACATTTTCTTTCCATTCTTCAGGCGTTTCTTTGCTTTGGGATTACGACTAATTGCGTAAGTTGTCCTCTATGAAACACTCGGTTGCACCTGCAGAACACTCTTCTGTTATTGTGTTGTTGGGCGATACGTTAATTTATTTATATACATTGTATTGTCAAGGAAGTTTTCGAGGTGGAACTGTAAATGTCTGCGGACACTCCAACCTCATATCTTCAGGATGAGGATTAAAATAATTATTTTATCCTCGGTTTAAAAATCATTTGACCTTTTTCCTTTGGTTTGACATCCTGAAGCACTTGACTGGTAGAAGAAAATATAAAATTTCATGGACAGTTGACTGCTAATTTTCAGGACAGTAACACCAGACGCGACGTGGCGGAAAAAAAATATGAAAATTCAGTTTTTTAACTTTGCAAAAATGTCTTCTGCAAAAAAGGCTTTTGATATTTTCTCATAACTCAATCGTTCATTTTACATTCAATACGGAGAATCAACTCTTTTTGTTTTACTAGTGGTTGACGACGACGAAATGATAAACAAATAGATGGAAAATCACTTGACACGTCTTCGCGTTCTTGGAATTGTCGTAAGTCATTCTCTTTACCAAAAATCAAACATATGATTCGAACTGGGTTAACGGGACAAGTTTTCTATACCCCGGAAGGCCACCATCCGATCACCTATGTACGTTTTTATCTCGACTTTATGTTCTGTCACACCACGAGTGAATGTAAATAAAAAAAAAATACATTTTCAATGTGTGTGATACCGGTATGCGTAAAAGCGCACACCTGTTCAGCAAGTAGAAAGTGTCCAAATTCCTTATTCGGTAGAGACTCAATGTGTAATCTCAGTGACAGTCTCTCATCATTTCTTTCTTTTCACGTATAAAATGTTATTTGATTTTTTTTGTACGCTATTGCACGATCACTGGTTAATTTCACACGGCACTCTGACGAGGTAAAAAATTATGATACAGATTTTATTCGAGTTTCTTATTTCTTTGAATTCTCGAGACCACTTTCGAATTTAATGAAAACATTTGGGCTGTGATGGGAAAATAGTGATCGATAAGTAAAATTATCTGGAGAATCTGATTTTTTTTAGTGAATAAAACATTCAAAATGTTTAAATATTTTCAGTTCCAAAATTCGGTATTATAATGTTAAAAATAGGAAATTCGAAAAAAACCATGCGAATTTTAAAAATAAGTAATAAATAAGGATCTTTGAAATTTGGTTAACGTTTCTTAAAAAATAACGATTAGAAGACAGAAATCACATTAATAATCTCAAAATTAAGATGTGACAGACATTTTTTATTAATTTTCAAAGTATGCTCATTTTTTCTCATAAAAAATTGCACAGCCAAATAATTGCAGGGACATTTTCTACAAACACCCATTTTCACAACGAAACGTTCAATGTATTCCCCTAATCCGCTAAAAATATTCCTCAAATAATCGATACATATTTGTTGAATAATATCGATTCTACATGCACCGCAACAACAATTGTCGATGAAATTGGAGAATATAAAAAACCGAATAATTCCTTATTTAGCCCCCAAACAATTGCCTTGAGAAATGATTGTTCCTCGCAATTACGCGCCTTCTTTGTACCACCAATTTGAAAAATTACAAAGAAAACTCGTAAAAAGAAAAAAAAATTTCCACATCTTGTGCCGACATTTTGTGCCGGCGATATTTCCAGCAATAATCAGCGGTCAATTTCCATCTATTTCCCGGTCTCGAGGATTTATCCCCCGATGCCTTTCACGCAACAGACATTTAACCGACTCCGCGGTATTATCCAACAGAAAGATGAGCGAACTTTTATAATCCATCCTCTCCGTAACTCACCGCTAATCCACCAGAGAAGGCAGCATGAATGAGAAATAATAATAATAAAAATTCCGTAAGATTTTTATTTAGACAAGTGTTTGTCGAAGAAAAAGAGTGACTGCGTGGGAGGAGTTTACTCACCCGAGGAGGTGTCCCTGGATGGTCGAGAAGGTCGTGGACCAAGTGGATGATGTGACTGATAAGGAGGTGGTGTTGCTGCACTATCAGAGCCGATACCGCTGCTCGCTGCACTTCGTGTACCGCCTCTGTCAATTGCTGTATTGCCACCCACGATTGTTTGATTCAAACACCGACGAAATTCAATACCCGCTAAATTGCCGCGATGTCGGTGAACTGTGTCGTAGTCCCGGGGGGGCAGGAGAATGGGCCCTACGTCGTTGTCACCTGCGTTACCTCGACCTAAAACATTCGACAATTCGACGTTAAATTAAATAAAATGTTAAATTAACGAGCCCCGTCTTTACAAATGTCTCATTTGGTTAAATAATAAATTTATCAGTAATAAACACTTTCAAATTTTTATCAGTAATTGCACCTCCAAATTTTTCTTCTTTTCTTTCTTTAAAATATTTTAAAATATTTTTATCGGATGGATAAATTATAAAGAACATGTCATTGGCTTCTGGATGGATGTCGCGTTTTGTTTCAGCATTTTGCCGACGTTTCGCAAACATTGCAGTCTCCATCTTCGGGGCTATTAGCTTTCAGTCTTTAATCCGTCTTTTTAATGACTTTAAATTTATAAATTAATTCATTGTCTCTCGCACCATTTTTGGATTGTTATTATTTTGAATTCAAGTGGAAGGAGTTTATCGCCAACAATTTGACTGGCGGCAAATGGTTGGTGTGAAAAAAAAAATTTGTAACATGCAAATGGATCAGTACTTAAGCCGGAGCTGTAACGATTATTTTTTACAAACTGAAGAACTAATCCCTTCGCAATGTTTCCGACAATTTTATGCACTACAATATAAAACATGACTGCATGAGGATTGGAAAAAGTCGAAAATACTCCAATCAAATAATAAAACCATGGTTCAACGATTCCAGAAATATTGTAGATTTATCTCCAAGATTTTACAGCAATGATTTGCTTCAGAGAAGAATCTAGGTAGTAAAAAACTTAAATTATAGTCTATAAAACCTGCCATTTTATCTTCAGCAATTTATTTAAAACGTTGCACAAAAATCTTGGTGAAAAAAAAAGGCTTAATCACCCTTTATGTTTCCACAATTTTTTTCACCTTATTGTTTTTTGCTTTTCGATGCACAAGGCCGACTTTTGTTCCACAATTTGACTTTAATATGAAAAAGAGTTGAAATATGTGGGACAGTATAACGGACTTTCCCCCAGTAAATATAAAATGCAATTGGACCAGGACAAACCTAGTTTAGCCCGCAATTCAGCAGCGAGTGACTCGTATATAGTTGCAGTTTGTGGAGGTATGTGTCTGTGTTCACCACTACCTTCTGATGATTCAGATTCACGTGTACTCCTACCATCGCTACCCAAATTACTACGTACTCTGGTGTCTGTACCATTGACCTTCGTCGAATTGTCCGAGTGTGATGCAAGAGCTTTTAATTGACCACCCAGAAGTTCCGCCGTTTCCACTGAATCACATCTGCAATCAGAGCGCAAAATTTGTTAAAAATTAAACCAAAGTCATCCTTGAAATTCATTCCACAAAAAAATAATTGCACCAAAAAAAAAGAAAAGAAAAAAATTCGCAAAGAAAGTACCACTCCAGATTTTACAACACTTCGCAAAACTTTTGGCGAAATTCATCCAGACCTTTTTCGAAGATTTTTATCGGCTATAAAAAATCGTTTCCTCATATTTCCCCCAGACACAACTGTTCAGCATAAACCCGAATAATTATACCTGAATTTCTACGCAATCGTTTATTTACCAGAATAAAAAGGGGTATTCATTCGAGAATATAGCGGCAGTGCGTTATTTGACTGAGACCTTCACCTTTTCCTTCATGATAATTTACATGACATAAACCTGATAAACTCCATAAAAGTCCTCAAATCTCTCCATCCTCTCACTACAATATAACCCAACAAAAACATATGGTCATGTTATGGTCATGTGCTCATAAATAATTCACACCTTCAAGTCCTTAAGCACCTGAATAAGACGATAAAATGCGAATGACTCGATTCTCTCGCAACAAGAGGCGCAATTTCCTCATTTTCAAAGCAACCAGTCTCTGTACAATGGTTTCCTAGGAGCAACCAAACCATAATAATCCATATATAGAATCCTTCAAAGTAATACAAGCTGTATTGGCCAGATCCATTAACTGCCAAGTGGTAGCACAACAAAGTGTGAGAAAATTGTTCATAGTGATACTGTGTACATGTTGCTGAGCAATGGGCCCCGTGAGTACACAAGTACACAGCCATATCCATTATTTTTATTCTCTCCCCCACTATCGATCCCTTGTTACTCAAATTATGAAAATCACATGGATATGCTCTGGGCATCAGCAGCATCATGCTCCTGGTACCGTTACAATCGTGCAAAATCGTTAATTAAGGAGATAGGCGAGGTCATGTAAACGGACGACCCCAAACAAGAGAGAAAGATCTTACCATCAACTGGTTGGCCTTGTTGTATCACGAATTACTGCACGCATGTGGGAAGAATTAAAAAATACTCTCACACTCGATACCCAGGGGCTTCCATTGTCCCCATCGGTCTATTAGCTATTTTGGCTTCATAATCATCACCACTGAGAACTAAATTTTAGTTTCTGAAATTCATCCAGACTTCAACTCTCAACGAAAAGACCTTACAATTTTTAGAAACACTAGCATTTGACATGCTCTAATCGTCATATGGTAGCACATGCTAAAAATAATTTTCCGATAAATAAAATCTGTAACAATATAGTCAATATAGTCTTCAGGTTTACCTTTTCATACTAGCATGATGTCAATACTATTTTACTGTTGTGGAAAAAATTTTATTACAAGTGTTTAATATTTTTTAAAACATTTTTTTAATTTATTTACTCCCTTTATATTAATTTTTACCAATTATGCATATTTTGTTGAAATTTAAAATAAAGACAATATAGTTTTATATATATTGTAATTATTTGAAACATAATTTTCACAAGGTGAGCTATGAGGTAGAAATTGTGACACTTTTCATAATATCTGGATTTTTTTCACAGGGAACCGGTGATGTCTTTCAGAATTTTTTTTTACTCATTTTTCTGATCGAAGGATTGAAAGGGCATTATTTCATTGACCTTTAATTACTTCCCCTTTAATTACAACTAATTCCTTTTTAATTTTAATCCCAATTGAGAAATTTCTTTGACTATCTCAACTGAAAATTCTGTAAATCATGGAATACAATAAATAGATCCATTAAATTTATTTCACACCATCTCAGATGCTGCAATTATTTCAACAATTGTTCCTCAGTTATACTTCAATTTTTTTCATGGTCTTTCCACGGTTTGTTTTTTCCATTCATAAATAGTCTCGCTCCAACAATTAGCCCCAATTACAGAAATTCCTGGATAAACTCAGACATAACATTTAATTCTTCATCATCTTTTTTTCTCCTTCTGTTTTTCGTTTGATCCACTGTGTTTCGGATTTCTTTACATTTGCTACGATGTTAGTAACGACTCAGTGTAAATCCGTCTCATGTTTTTGTTATTTTTTGTGAATGCAGTTACTTCAATTTAAAATTGCGCTAATGAGTGAGAAAATTCGAATCCAGAACGGCAACCAACTCTGCCATTGTACTCTATACATTTCGTTGCAATTGTACATTAGTCCCTCGTGTCCCAGAATTACTCAATTCTAGTTTAATGAATTCTCTCTTACTATACTATTTACCATTGTATTCGTGACTGTATCCTGCGGCAAAAAAAAAATTCATTTCACTGGAGTCCACGGTCAAATGATTCTACATGAAGAAATGATGTTTGTACACTCGATGACCTCGAGTAGCCTTTCTAACTCTCCAATCATCAATTTCATATTAATTCTCATCGATTGGAAGTGGTCATTAGCAAATGCAAGACTACTTTCAGTTTCGTTCGATAAATTGGCTCTACCGACGAAGAAATTACTTTCACAATATTTTTCATTGGTTGCCATATTCCATTGCTCTTTCAAGACTTGAATTATCGGAAAACCGATTCAGTAATTTCACTTTTGTCTACGTCAAATCACTCTCGTTAGCTTCTCTTATTTCATTTCCGTTAATTCAACGCTCAGATGAATTCATACCGATTCAGCATTTAATATTTAATGATAGATTGCAATAGTTGTGGTCGAATTGTCTTTTATTACTAATCCAGATTTCATTGAGTTTATAATTATAAAAAAAATGTTACATTTTTTTATCGTCAAATTTTTCAAGTCTAAATCATTTTCGTCGGATTTTTCTATCAGTCATTTTGTTTTATACCAATGACATAATTAAATTAACTTCTATTACTTCGTCAGCGTGATATTAACAAAATAATAAACAAGAATCAGAGGAATAGATTTTAAATATCTCGTAATGCATTCTCTCTTGGAATATATTGCACCCAGAATTTTATTGTCAATTCCATCCTGAAGTGAAAAATTAATTGGTAGAGTGAAAACTATAGGTAACCTACGAATATCTACTCGTGTTAATTATGCAATTATCTCGATGGTTATCGATTTCGAGAGAAAGTACCGTGAGATTTTTTTTAGCGAGAATTATTTCGGCTCTAAACTGCCTCCAAGTCTTTTGCAATCACCTTGGTTTATGGAGGATTTGCATAATTAACAAAACTATCAAGTTTGATTCAAACAACTCAATTGCTTCTCACCAGAAGTACAATGAAAATTACCGAAGAAAGTGATTATCTATTTTTTATGGTCTCTTCCAACACTCTTAGCAGTTTCATTTACAAGTATTTGTCGCTTCGTTAATAAACATATTGTGAAGCACTACGTTTTTGTGTCGTCATACTCTTCGTCGTTAAAATGCAATTATTTTGTAAATAATGGATTTCTAGAGAAAACGGCGTGAATCCATTGTTAGACGTTAACTCCAATGAAAACATATTCTCAACATTTATTTTTTAAATATTCCCTTGCAATCAAGAATTTTTACATTTTATGTGGAATGTTCCTCTCTTCTTCTCATTTTCAATACAAAACGAAAATATAATTATCTATTGTTTAAAAACTTATTTTCCAGGCGATTAAATTAATCTTTTCGAAAATCTTAAATTGATTTGCTAAAAACCGATTTTTTTCGGTTTCTCTGAACTTCCGATTGCAACCCGAAAAATAAAAACTACCATCGACTAGACCATCGAATAGTCTGTACTATCCTGTGGTAAGCAACTTCTTCCCCGTTACTGCATACCTTCATAAAAATAACGAGTACTGATGGTCAGCATATTTAACGGTATTTTTTAACCATCACTAGTTTTTAGTGATAGTTTTTCTCGATTCCCTAGGCTTGGATTACTGAATGAAAGAGAAGATTTATAAATGGCAAACCTGTAGGCGTGAACGTGAACAGGATTATTGGTAGCTGGATTGGGAAGAAGAAGAGTGGCAGCAACAACGTCCTCCCGTTGCACAGCAGCAAGAACTGCATGACCTGGCACAAGATGCTTCACCGCAGACCTCGTCGATACGCCCGGATGAACTGTCTGAATGATCTTCAGTCCCTTGCTGCTTACCTGTTTACATATCAATCCATTATTAATTCATTCACCAAGCTGACGAGTGATAACTTCATCAAACAAAATGCAACAAAATCAGATACAACTAACATCATTTCAAAAAACGATAAATTGTCTCAAAACTCGTACATAAATATTACTATTAACCTATTTTATATTTCAAGATGATCTGTTGCAAGAGGCGACTGCCTATTGCTCGAAGCCTTCAGCCAATTAATATTCATTTGCTTTGGAATCATAAAAACATCGAACCAAAGTTGAAATTTAGGTAAAATATGAAAATTACTGTTTCACACTCAAAACGTAATAACTCCACGAAAAATCGTGGAAATCCCAAAAATCCCGTATTATTTTGAAACTCATTTAATGAGTTTTCAAATAAGTGTACAATATATGTATAATATATGCGGATTATCCCAGAATCCGACAAAAAAAGGGAGTGGTACGGACGTGGATCATTTACTCATGAATGGTGAAAGCTGCGATCCGGCAATAAAATTTTGACAACGAAACATATTAGAGCTACCAATTTTGCATAAAAACAAAATTTTTTCAGATATGTTGAATTTCTAAAATCATTGACCTATATTTGGTTGGAAAGGTGAAAATCCAATCAATGAAGGGCTTCGAAATATGCGTTAACTAATTATGAATTTAATTTTCAAACAAATGTATCGGCTAGCAATAACTATTCTGCTCTATTAGGGCACCAATTTGTGAGGCAGTGTTCGATGCAGGTTTCTCAATATTCTCTTTTTTTAGTCTCTGTACCTCCCGGGCATTTGCCGTGTCGCAATATGGCTCGTGACCGATGGATGTCTCAACGATTCATTGGAGAGCCGGTTGCCGATTCATTGTGCACCATACGGAATGGAGGTTGAAAAAGGGATCGAAGAAGTCACTGATCAACCGTTAACTCCGTTGGATTACCTTGGAGTGTGTGTTAAGACGAGTTTTTCAAGTCAAAATGTCGTCAAACGGGGTTTAAAAGGCACAAAGATAATGGATAAACCTCCAGTACTTTTTTAACTTACCGATCTAGTCGATACTTATTGAAACATGAGTATACAATAGGCACGCTCACAAAAGACAATTAAAAATCTAATCGAATGATGGAAATCTGCGTTCAACATCTCTATCCTTTATCTACAAACTAGTAAACATATTTTACTAACAATTACGAACGATATCCGTAAGAAAATAAATTTCTGGGGTAGATAGTTCATTCCTGCTGATTTATTTATCCCAATAAACTGGATTTTATAAATTATTATTCACTTTTTTTAATTATATCGAAAACTGAATGATTGTACTCAGATAAATATGCGGTTCAGTTGCTCAAATTGATTTCAAAATTTACACAAGCGGAGATCGTGTAATTCGAGATCCATGTAAATAAATGATCCGTGCCCTAACGCTTTTCATATACAAACATTCATGTACAAAATTTCTATGTGCAAATTCATGGAATATCCGGTTGAAAATAGCCAATAAAGATAATACTAAATAAAGATGATGAAAAAATTGAATCTGTTGAATATTTTTTATCAACATTAGACCGATGAGATTCAATTCCAGAAGCGATTGGTTTGAAAAAAAAATTATAGCGGTGGCATTATAATTTATATATAATTTGTTACGAGAAATTCAGGTGAAAATGACAGAAATGAATAAATTCTCCAACAGTTACTCTCAATTCTATCTAGATTCTAATATCAACGATTCTTTAATTGTTGTTATTAAATTCAGTTATTTGGAACTTAGAGGTATATTTAAAACTCCAAAGAGATGTTACTGACAGCAATCAGGTATACCCATCCAACTTTCTCGCGTAGCAATGACACCAAGTTGTTGTCGTAGTTGGATGGTTGGAGAGCGTTGCAATTATAATTGCGCAATTTAGACTCGAATGCATCCATCGTACTCTTGCATTTTCTACTAGCACAATTACCCATGTGACTTGTGTTGCCATTGCCATAGGATTGCGGAAAAAGAGGCAAAGAAACATTCTTCAGATTCTCGTGTCCTTTATCCACTGGAATTGTCCGAGTATCTTTTGCCTCATTAAAGGAAAATTCCCTATTTATTCCGCTCGATAACGATTTTTATTCCACTGAAACTATCGATTTTTCACGAAGGGCAAAGAATTAAAGGTATGAAATGAATCTTTTTATCAAGAAGAAGAGTTTATCGTAATGGGTGCTCGATTCGATGGGCATGAAAGTAAAAATAATTATAAGTATTCGATAATAATAATGATTATTGTTATGATTATAATCTCCAATTTATCAGAGTGATGAGTCTTTCGCAATATAAATGTTATTTATTGAGTTTTGGTAGAATTGTTGAAGTTACTGATAACGATCCCTTGCATGAAAAGCCGGAAAAACTTAATCTACGGGTCACGCACAATTTTCCATCGTATTACCCACGACAAGAAGAAATGAATCTGATCACGATCTAGAGTGTAGATCCGCTGGTTGATGGGTAGTTGAGCATGCGATTACGTTCTTTCGATGACTTAAACACGAAGGAGAAATTTCCAACCGACGAGAAACCAAATGCAAGGAAAAGATGTCATTTTGAGAGAAAACAAAGAAATATGATCTGGATCTTTTTCTTCTCCGTGATATGATCATCGAAATTTCCAATCTGTACCGAGCTATGGGTATTATTCCCACGTGCGTAACAAACAATTTTCTTATCTGATCTTAAGCGTGTTAACGCTCAAACAATAATCACCTCGCAATCCAGCGAAAGTTGACGTTTGTTGAAATGCTGTGGCAAATACGCGGTTAAATTCCTCCGTTAAATATGTCTGCAGTTGGGATTTTTGAAACTTGTACTTCACGCCTGATGAATATTGTAGCGAAGTGGTAAATTAGGATAAGTGCATTTTTTATTTCAATTCTAATTTCTAGTCAATATCTCAGATTTGAAGGAACATAACGATTTTTTTATTGATGCCTTTTTTGACAGCCTCGAATGCTGCGCACCAGTCGATTGGCTGAAATCCGAGTTCAAAAAATAATTAACACAATTATCAATTGACAGTTGTCAGATCAATTGATTCTTCTAAGTCTCTGAATTTTTCGGATTAAAAGAATGTCAAAATGGAATCGTCAGAAGATAATCAATAAATCCCGTACGAAGAAAAGAAACAAAAATTTTCGGGTTTTTTTCTTTCTTTCGATTTTTGACGATAACTCACAAACTAATTACTGTTATCTATCCAATTATTGATAAGTGATGATTACATGATTCCTTTTATAAAATTTTATATGGAAAAAAAATCAGGGTCAATGTCCAAAGTTAAAGATCAATTCACTGAATGAATTATACAATTATAAATTATCAGTAAATTATCAAGATAATTTTTATTATCAGAATGGCAGGGATTAATTAATAATGATATTGATTAATATTAATTATATTGATTATATCGATAGCGTATTGCTTATTAATCGGCAAAGTAATTATAATCTACAATAAATTATTTAATCGAAGATACCCATTGAATATTTTTTATAAGTAATCAATTCCAATCAATACAAATTAATTAGAAGTGAATATTAAATTCTGATTTTGACTAACGGAAGTTGTTCCCCGCCAACATTTATTTATTCGTTTAATTACACTGTAAAAATATATAGTTTTTACTCAGAAATTCTATGTAATTATATTCCAAAAATATTCCATTCTAAAATTTCACTTCAACCACTTCTCGATATATATTCTGATAAACCAGAGATATCTGAGGAAGTTCTCTTAAAGAAAGGCATCTCAAAGTTTTGAAATCAACTCATCTATCTGAAATTCGTGAGAGCTCGTTAGTCATATCAATCTATAAATCTTGGACATCTTCAAAATTTTATTGTCCTTTTAATTGTACGATTTTATGTAATTCAAAATGGCATCCTGCACGCAACGAGCAAGACAACGAGTTCTCACACAAGTCCTAACTTAAATTCGGAAATAGACTAGTGAATGATGACTTTTCAGATAGCTTTGTTTTAAATGGATTCCCTGAAGTTCCTGTTACGTTGTATTAAAATACATGAAACTGTTGATATTTCTCGAGAACAATAATTGAGAATATCAACGAACCCCACGCGAATTCCTATAAGTCTCACTAAACTCGTTTTATCTACTAAACAAAATCGAATTATCAACATCACATTTCAAGTCATTATAATAAAATATAATTCATCTCCAAGGATGAGCTAAAGACTCAGTATTGAAAAAAAGTGAAAAATTCTTCTGATAAGATAAAAATGGATACACTTCACTGACAGAAAAAATTAGCTTTCAATTAATTGAAAATACAATTTTCCAATGAATGAATAAATTTCCAATAGATTAAAAATTGAATTATATTTTATGTTGAATGTTTTACAAAAATTAATAAATAAATTCACTTAGCCCAAGCATATGAATTCCCAAAATTTTATTAGAATTAGTGTCTTCCATTTAACAATTTACCGATGCATCTGTATCTGCATTGAAAATAATAATCACTTTTACTACGTAAAATGACCAACGAAAAAAAATATACATTTCCGAAAAAATTTCCTATACATTCAGTAGTGCCAAGTGAATTAACTAATCAAATGCTATAAATTGATTTACTCGTGTCAATTGAATTCATCTGTCAAAAGTAAATGAATTTATAAAAATTAATTTCAGTTAATTTTGGATTGCAGTTTTGAATTGCAAGTTTGTCTTTCGATAAAGTGGCACCTCAGCAATTGGCCTAACCGGGCCACTATCTCCTTTCCCAGATTCCAATACAAGTCGCGTTTAAAATGTACCTCTCCCCTCATTTATGAATGCCCAGCACACATCTACCTATAGAAAACAAGTCCACCAAGTTGGTGGCATCGAAACACCGAATACATTTACGCATTTCTCTTTTCCCCGTCTCGTTTCTCCCATCGCATTTGCTCGATGAATACAACCATTCAATTCCCTTGATTTCCGAACCAAAGAAATAGGTGAAAGAAAAATCCCAGGGTTATTCTATCTCCAATCATCGAGCGTTTGGAATTCTCGTATAGAATCTAAGACCTACATTGAGGTGGATAAAGCGGATAAGCCAGCACGATTCGTTGAATTTTTAAGAAGGATATAATTGCAGATGACTCCTAATTGCTGAGATTTAACAACAGCCATTAGATTTCATTACTCATTATTCTCAGACGGATTGTGTTATTTCTTCGTTCTATTTATCGCGCATTTTTTCATCGTCAATCACCTTTCTCTGCACCGAGTTCCAAATTGAGGTGTTACCAATCAATCTTTTTATACCAGAGGACTTGATGATTAATTAATTGTTAATTTGCTTATTATTTCGTTCCAGAGACATGCGAGGCGAAATAGAATTGAAGTCCGAGTAATAATTTCTGGAAGAGTGACATTAAATGGTATTTTGAAGAAAAGACTTATGAAATCTCGTCGGCTTTCCAATTTAGAGTGAAGGCTCAATAAAAATTAGAAACTAGACCGGTAATCGAATTATATAGTTTTTAACATTAACAAAAACTGTTAAACCTTGAGAGCAAACTAGCAGTCAGGTATAATAATAATATAATATAATATACCATTTACATAAAATAATCATTTGTCTAGAGTAAGAAAAAAAAATAGTGCATTTATCAATTGAATTTAATTGAAGAAAAAACCATAAATTATGGGCAATTTTTCGCGATTTAAGATTCTTTGAATATTTCGATTATTTATATTTAAAGTTAGACCGGAAATGACCCAATGGACTCCAATTTTTTATAAAATAATTTTTTTAAGGAATGAAATAATTTATTATTTAATGAGAAAAGTAGTGGGATACGTAATGTTTCTCAGGCGCATTTCAAAAGTCATTTCTGTCAATGTGTCAATGTTCAGTATTATTGATTGTTAATTTTATTACGGGATTGCCGATTATCTTCAATCTTACAGAATGCATTCGTAAGTAAAGGTCGTGAGTGATATTTCAGAAGGATAATTGAACATTTCTACAATCTGAATCCTCTAAATCTACCTCCTTTCCACTGTTTATGACTTTAGTGGAATTTAACGTCCGTCAATTACTTTCAAAACACATTTCTATCCATACATTTGCGATCGCACTCTTAAATTCACACCTATTTTACTTTATGTACTTCATGGGTACCGAGTGCTTTCGACAGTAAACCGAGAGAATCTCTACAATTTTTTATAACTATTCCCGTCACTCATGCATTTGCAAGTCTTCAATAAAATGTATTTGAGAATTACGTAAACTTTTTACACTTTTTACCAATAAAATCATCAAATATGTCATACAATTTCTCTTCCCTGAACCGCAAATAAATGTTCAGAATAAATCAACGATTTTCAAAATTTTAATGATGGGTTCAGAAAACTTTTTCTGAGTTAAAATGAAACGAATCAATAAAAAGGAAACAAGTTTTGAATTAAAATATAATCGTACAGATTCAGACATCAGAGATGAAAGGAATTCCGTAGAGGCCATTGAAACATTTCACAATATCAGAAAGAGACATAAATAACAGTAATGGATCGGAGAATCTTTGATTGGACTTTCTTGAGGTTTTAGCGCACATTGAATATAAAATAAGAAATAAATGGCGAGAAAATTAGAATGCGATAAGGTAGGCATTAGAATAGAATTTTTCGCATAAAGATGAAAGGTTTATTGTCTTTATATAAAAGAAAGATAGGCTGGTACCTCTTTGGAACCGGCTCTATCGACTTGTTTAATGACTTCAAGGGTGGGTAGATATTAATTCTAAAAATAGCAATGTTGAACTCTTATTCGGTGGTTGACCATTTGTGGGTGTTGTGATAACTGTTTTACCTGGAGTGTGACCTTGAAAGGCTCTTGAAGTCGTTCACGTTCCAGGAGATAGGCTATGGCACTGGGCATTGCATCCACACCTTTTGCTTCTCTGGCACCGAGGTACCACACGTAGTACGAACTTTTTTTGACATCTTGGCTGGTGCGCAGCCTCAAGGCCATCGCTCAACTGCAAAACAATACCATTTTTTATTGTTCAACTTCTACACTCTTTTAAACAAAATTCACGTTTTTATTTTTTTTTTCTGTAAAATTATCCATGGGATTGACATGAAAAAATATAATGTTTGTATCTTGACTTTATTTAATAGTTTACGAATTTTAATAATTTTTTGTCAACAATTTTATGATTCTTTTTAAAAACTCATAAACACAGGAAAATGTTCACACCATTTTGAAATTTCGCGGGTTTTTAAATCCGGGAAATTGTTTATAAATTCATTCTGATCAAAAAAATGATCTGATGAATAATAATTATTATTATGTATATAATATATAATTATTGTGACAATGATGTTAGGAAAAATGGTAAATTATTGTCGCCGATGGGGTGACTTGATTTTTAATTGAATGATTAATTGAGGAAGATGGAGAACTCCGAGGAGAAATGAATATTAATTAACGATTGAAATTGTTAGGGGGTGCAGTTGTGTCAAGGTAAACACGACAGTTTCGTTAATTATGCAAGTATGTTGAGGATAAGTTGTAAGAGAAAATGTCACACGACAGATTTTTCAGGAGAACAGGTTCCTCAATATTCTAGTACTTATTCATCCCATTAGAATAATTCTGCAAAATACTACAAATTCACTATTACATTATGACCCTCAACATTAAATTTTCCCAGATTAAATTCTAGTGAGTGATTAATTCATTGAGGAATTAAATTGAGAAAGAGGAGTGAGTAGTTTTGGATTGATTAGAGTGAAAGTATAATTTTATGTTCGAGTCATATAATTGAATTCAAGTGATAACTAGCGATTTTTTACGAAAGGCTTTGTCTCCCCAAGGCACTACGATGCCCATTCCTATTTATACACAATTTCCTTGAAAAAATATTATTGCGTAATCCGATTTGTAATTAAAAAAAAGTATCCTCACGGCTTTTATGAAATTATCGCTATTTTCACATTCAAAAAATTTCAATACGCAGTACTATTTTTATAGCGTTCAAAAAACTATATAATTAAGAAGAAAAGAGAGGAGAAAGTAAATAAGAAAGTGAAAAAATTGAATTCAAGTGACAACCAGTGGTTTTTTTAATGAAAAATCCATTTTTGCAAGGAACTAATTTTCCTAGTCTTATTTATACTAAATTTTCTGGAAAAAAATCTAACTGCAGAACATTTTGACATTAAAAAATTCCAGTACGTAGTGCTACTTGCATAGTATTCGAAATATAGTCGTAAAAACAGTGTAAGCTTGAGAAACAAAATAATATATTCCATAAAACTATTCCACCGTTTCTATCCTTCACAAATAAAAACATTGCACCGAATTCCAGACCTGCAGTACTCGAAAGCTAAAAATAAAGACTTGAAACATTATAAGAACTCAATTCTAAGTTGTAAAAAAAGAATCGTCAGATTTCTTCCAAATAATGAAGCAATTATCATAAAAATTAACCGGCCAATAAAGTCAAGAAGAAAAATGTCTGCAATCATCTCCCGAGAACGGCATAAAGGACGCTATAAAAATTAATTAACCAACGCACAGATGGAATTCAAACCCGGAGAAATCGTAAACGAAAAAATTTCGAGCTTTTGAAAATCCTTTAAAAATTCGTGAAATTTTGAGTTCTGGGTAATAAAAAACTCCTGTGAAATAATTCCTTTGCATATCCGGTGCACATTTGCATCCATTATCCCTAATTCCCAACTTCCCTGGGTAAATTGAAAAACTGTGGACCACGTTCTCGCAGGCTTCATCATTTTGCCTCCCACATTATCCGTATTAGAGGGAAAAAAAAAAGAATTCACAAATTCCCCGATCGTTCATTCTAACGTACCTCGAGGTAGTTCGTGAGCACCCGTCCAACTTCCTCAATTACTTTCACGCTTAAACCCGTTTTCATGTTATCCATCTCAAGGAATAGCCTACGTACCCATCGACTTTTACATTCGGTTCCCACACAATTCGCCCAATCGACCCCAGCCTTGTCTCCACAAAAAGCGAAAAAAAAAAACAACAAACAATATCCTCTTCCCAGATTCTCACATCTCCCCTCGGTTCCCCCTCGGTTCCTAAAAGACCCGGGAAAATTCAAGGGCAACGAAAATGGCGCGGTCGAACATTCATCGGTTAAACCCCTTATCGCAGATGAGCAAAGGAAAATTAAATTTTAAGAACCGATAAAAAATGGAGGGTCGATAATCAAAGGTGAATGATTCACCCGGTAGATCTTCCCGAAGAAGGGGGTAGAGAAGACGAAAAAAGAATGTTTAAAAAAAAGACAAGGAGAAGTCGATCTGCACGCAACTCACCTGAAATGCCCGGTACGGAGAATGCACTTCTCTTCTTTTCTCTCTTTCGTTTCTTCCTTTTTCAACCAGAAAATAATAATATAGTACGTTCACTGTGCACGATGCTCAAGCAAGTACCGAGGTATAAATACAGTATTAACATCAAAAACCAGAGGAGAAGTTAAAAGATGAGGAGACGTTAAACAACAAGAAATAATTGAGTAAATACAACAGAGTTTAACAAAAAAAAAACACCTGGATTCACTGGGGATCACTGACACTTGAATGGATTACGGTAGCTAAACTAGCATCACATTTCTCACAATAGTAATATTAAATGTCGGCAGCGTGTGTTGTTTTTTAATTTAGATAATTTGTGATGAATGTAGATGTTGGTGTTGTTTACCGCACGACACGAAACACCAAAATGGACCGAACTCGAGCTGAAGGCACCTGGGATTACAACTGGAAGGAAAGGTACAAGGTAAAACCAAGTGGGGAGAACGTTTTCATACTCAGGAGAGAGGGAATAACTTGTGAAGAGGGACAAGAGGGGAGATGTGAAGTTTATTCTCTCACTCTCGCCACACCTTGCTGCACCTCTTCAACTAATAAAATTTCATTCGACACGGTTCATCGGGAATTTTCCCATTTTTCCGATATTTTTTTTACACCGAGGTGAAATTTTTGAGTGACTGAAATTTTTATTCCGTCGTCCGCTAGGAACAATTGAAATTCCAAATTAGAAATTGGAAATTTTCAATTTTCCAAGACTGGAATTTTTTTTATTGTCTTCCGAAATTTCCGAAATTTTTCACGATGAAAGTGAGTTTCATGAGTTATTGGGATTTTTATTTAGTTGTTTGCTGGGAAATATTGAAATTAGGATTTGAGAATTGAAAATTTTTCATTATCGGGGATCGTGGAATTTTTCAATTTTTTCGAAAATTTTCAAATCGAAATTGTAAGCACCTTGAGTAATTGGGCTGGAAATTCGAAATGTCAAATTTCAAATTCGAAGTTTTCAAGAATTGTGCAATTTTTACCTTTCAATTTTTAATCTTTCAAAAGGAGACTATGAAATTCCTGTGAGTAATTGAACTTTTCATTCCGTTATTTTATTATTATAAAATTGGAAATAAAAGATGAGGAATTGGAAATTTTCAGGAATAACGGAATTTGTGAAATTGCAGAATTTCGAGGCTTGGAGCGGCTTTTGTAGGTACAAGGGTAGAGAGGGAGAGGAGTTGAGTGGAAAATGTGAGGGAAGAGGAAAATATAAGAGGCTCGGTTGAACACAAACTCTATAAAACTGCACGAGTGCATGAGTGGCATCGAGCAAGAACCAAGTCGACGGCATCGTGTCTTCTCCCTCTCTATTCTTGTGGAATCGGTTGGCAGTGGGAGGAGAGAGAGTGCCAGGGCACCGCCAACATTGCCAGGTGCTTATACGGGGTGACCGCTAAAGAATAAACTTCCGAGTTAGTCGCTCGACTCGGTGAACTCATTGACTCATGAAAATCTCGAGTTCAAATCTTGACCGGGTAGAAAAAATATTAAGAACCTACATCCAAAAAAGTCCTTGACCCACACCAAAAATATAAATATGCTCTTCTGAAAAGCTAGATGTTCTTCTCAGAGTTTCCACACATACGCCGGTTTTTTATTTAATTTTTTTCATATTTTATGCAGTCGCCTGCAATCAAATGAAGTTAATAACACAAATAGTTAACACTCTTCATTTTTTTTGGAAAAAATCACCATCTGATAAGACTGGAAACATCTGGTTCATCTAAACGAAATTGTTTTTGTGAAATTGCTTAGCTCAAGAAAATTATGTCCTAGAAGAAAATTGTCATTAATTCACGGGTTTTCTACCCCCATATATAGAAAAATGATTGTTTTTTCATTTTTGTGGTAAACTTATTGTAGGATTGACGTGAAAAAATGTAAAGTTATTGCATTATGTTATTATTTAATGACTCACAAAGTCTCAGTGGTGTGAACATTTTTCTGCGTTTTTTCTAAACATTTAAAAAGAATCACAAAACTGTAGAGGAAACGCATGAAAATGACCGATCACCCGACGTGGTGAAATAATATTATATTATGTATCGAGGTTGGAAAGTCATGATTGTCTTTGCGAACTGCACCTGCGGTTTTCCAACGCGCCTCTAAAGTCAAGCCCATATTTTTTATGAGTGAGAGGAAGGGCTTTCCACCCGAGGATGAAAAGTAATGGAAATAATTATGAAAGTTTAGTCTCTAAGTTAATGGATATCGTAGGGTTGAACTTGATTCGAGCTCGTGGTGAATTGTAATCTCGTTACGTCACTGATTGCAATTATTTTTTAACGAAGGGGAAAATGAGAGAGAGGATAATGGAAATTGTGGACATTGAACTTGAAACTCAACTTTCTGAGATTATTACGTATGTTAAATGCCTAGACATCCTCTGCAAATTTCCAACATAAATTTATAAATATTTTAGACAAACAAGATAAAATGCAAACAAAAGATTACGTTCGATGGCTAGAACTGCGGGTCTTTATCAGAATTCTATTTATTCCGTGTGAAGAAAAAAGTGGGACATCCTAAAGTTCAAACAATTTTATTATTTAGCAATTTTATAATGATTTACGAGGATGTATTTAAAAGTTTGTTACTTTTCAGTTTTATGTACATAAATCTTTGACTCGAAGTCGTGATCTATAAATATTTTTAATTTTCTTTCCAAATGAGAACATTTTTCCCACGTGATTGGATTTACGGTTTGAACGAGTAGAAATATCCAAATGTTCGTTGCGGATTGTATGAAAAGGTGAAAGGTATTTGGATATCCTTAACGAGGAGAAAATTGAGAAAACTAATAAAAGAAATCATATTCTCAGAAATTATGAATCCAATTACTAAAGAGGCGTATGATCATAAGTAATATCGAGTGGCTTGCCTATGGCGGTAGTTCGGTTTCTCTTTCTATAGTACTCGCATGATTTTCACATAAAAATATAGATAGCCTCTGGGGGTTTGAACCCCAGTCCTCTATTATGTGTGATAGACGTTCACCTTGTGCACATGACATTATATTTTCAGAGAAAACATAAAATCTCATGAGCAGGTATGTGACACGGAAAAGGATTCAGTTTAAAAAATAATAAGTGGAATGTCGAATAAAAATTACTCAATAAACAATGTGAAATTTATGAAATATTTCGGAGAAATTTCTGAGCATTATATTATTTTTATACGTCATTATTTATATATTATAAAAAACACATATGTTTAAAAATGAAATCAGTTAAACAATTGAAAAATTGTAATTTTCTGAAAATTTCATGATATTCATTTCTTCAATTAGAAAAAGTGTTGCATTTCAATTCAATTATTTAATATTATTTATATATTCATTAGTGATGCAATTACGGTGATTTTTCCACTCATTATTCGAAAGACCAATTTTTCTCACTCGAAACTAACCCCGAACAAACTGATATACCCGGAGTAATTTTTATTTCCAACAGAAAAATGGCTAATTAGAAAAAAAAATGATAAATAACGTTATTCTTTTCAATTAAGTAAACGGAATATTTCCAGATAATTAGGATACTTATGCAGTTATTATCAAGTAACCGAAAAGGATGGGATGCCAATGGCATTCAGAAAATACAGTACCGCTATCACCTGACACACCAACGGATATAACACGAAGTGTAATTACCCTCGAGGTAGGTTATGCGCTACACGAGATACTTATTCCTCCACACCTCTCCCTTCTCCTTTTTTACGTATTTTCTCATTCCATTTTTTTCTTACTTTTAACATTCACATTTCTTTCTTCGTCACTCATTCCCGTGCGATTTCCAACACGTGTAAATACTAAATCCGACGTTCAGCGTTAACCAGTTATTGCCGATATTTTCTCATTTTTCATGTTTTTTGAAAATTTATGGAATGTCAAGACAATCGCAGTCTGAAGAACAGCATCACAGAAAATGTGAGAAGTAATTCGGGTTTGTTTTGGTATGATGCATACTCATTGGGGATTGGGGCTTGGGGATGGGGCAGCAATTTCTTTTCTACCCCTTCGATTCTTAGGAAATTGAAGTTTATCTTGTTAAAATTTGAATAAAATGGTAATTGTATATCTGCATTGAGAAAAAATTATTTTCTCAAGTATATTTACAAACCATAAAAAAATATATTGAGCAAAAGAATTTTTTTTCTCAGTAAGAATCACAGAAAAATTGGGGAGTTACCCGAGGTTATCGACCATTTTGTCGGACGCCTTTCTAAGATCCAAAATGGCGGAAAACATCGAGTAACTCTTCAGTTAAATGATATTATAATTTATTTTTCACCGCTAAAGCTTTAATTCTCCATGAATGTTATTAATAATATAAAACTGTCTCATTTGAATCGATGCATTCAATTTTTGCCGATAAATCAATTTTAATCGTAGTCAAATCCCATGGAAAAGCCCTTGCTCTTTTAATTTATGTGTAGCATGTACTCGATTTTTTTGCTGCGCAATTCGTGAAAACAATCCGGAAAAGGTGGCATCAATCCTCATTCCAATGCGTCGCACTAGAAGCGTCGGCCTAATCGCATGACAAATAAAAAAATAACGATAACGTGCAATTCATGGTTGAGAATGAGAAAGAGGGCAAAGCGGAAGCGAGAGTACCAGTGGCTTCGTCGTAATGACGATAAGCCAAGTGCACCTGTCCCACCAACAGCTTTTCTTTTTCCAACGGATTTTCCACATGTGCGATTAAAAGATGAAAAAAACATGGAGCACTGAAGCCGATATTGACTAGATCGGCTGAAGAAATCGCTTACGAAATCATCAAGCGAATTCCACGCTGTAAGGTACTAGGTAATAATTTATGGCGTGGATTTAGCGTAGATAAAACGATCATAAAACTCATAAATAAACTCTTCCATACAAGTCTTGAGCTAAAAATGGTAAAATTCTTATTATCACTCGAAAATAATATTTTTCATACATTTTTTTTCAGTGGACGATTTTTCTACCTCAAGTGACGTCTCTAGAAAGAATTTCATTGAAAAACAAATTAATAATTCAACAATTCCAGTGGAATTGAGAGAATTCATGTAAGAAAACCAAAAGGAAAAAATGTTCAACCCGAGAAGAAGCAGAAACAATGTAAGAAAAAATTGCAACTAGAATTCTGAGAAGAATGTATTAAAAGTATAAAATCCTGATGGAAGAGATTATTGATGACTGTTTATCTGCAGTTTATAAACAAATGATTTTATGATTATAATTATGGGGATTGTTTGAATCCATCCACCGTACGTTCCATGTGATTTTCGTAATGCTCATTAATGCTAAATTGTCAGTTACAGTACATAATTACCTCAGCAAAAAATAAACATTACCGACAATGCAATAATAACGTCACGACTTCTCAGGAATACCCGACGAAAAATTGATGAAATGCCGGCGTTGCACTCGATTCAAATGAAACACTACCGGATTCCGATAATACCCCATATCTAAAAATAATATTATTATATTATTAATATTATGTAATTATTATTATCATATATAATATGTGCCATCTCCAGTTTACGCTTTTAGGAGATTTCTCTAAATTTCAGTCATGAAGTCATTTTTAATTTTCAATTCCCGATTTTTTCAGATTTCTCAAGAATTGCTGATCAGATTGACCCAAAAAAATATACCGTTTTTGCACTCTATCGATATTTTATAACTCACGAAGTTTTCTGAATATGCGATGATTGCTTCCGGTTATTTTCCTAAATTTCTATAAATTTTAGAAAAGTTTATGGAAAACGCCGGAAAATTATTGCACGATCATGAGATTTTGGGAGTCTATGTGAAATTAAAAACAAATAGTTTTTCTTGATAAAGAATCGCCGATTTTTTCATGAACACTTGAATTTTAACGCATATCCCCGAAATTAAATACTAAATATATAGTATATGAATACTATATAATTTTAGTGGTTCCACGATTTTGCCAGTTCATCCGGTGATTCAGTGCTATGAATTATTTTTATTTAATCCGATTTTCCATGATGAGCGCACAGCATTGGCACGATAAATATCGAATAAGGATGTAGAAAGTCGGATACGTGATGTAATGCAAGAAATTTGTATGGGATTCAATGCACGACACAAGATTTTTTGTTCATTGTGTACGCACAATTGTATGAGTTTTCATAAACTTGTGTAACATGAGTGAATTATACGGAGTGTTACTGTTTGATTTCTACAATTTGAGGTAACTATTCTTGCAGAAAGAAATAGTAGAAGCAAAATGAGGAAATATAATGCATATAATGGATTCGATCAAATGTAATAACTCAACTAAATCTATAAACATGATCATTTTGTTGCAAATACCACTCATTGCTGTCGGGCATGAACGTGAATTTACATCAATGGAGATATCTTCTTTCGCAGTAATAGACATAATTCTATACTGAACCGATTTATTTCTGACAGTCATCTCCATTCAAAATGGCAAATGGATTGCAGATGGCAAAACAATATTCAATATTTAACATTAAAAAATAAAAATATCCTCGAATTAATTTGGTGTATCAATGAATAGGTGACAGTCTGGCAGAAAAATGACTTTCTTTTCTCCATCGAAGTCGTAGATCAATTGATCTTGAATTGATCTTGATTGAAAAATTTCCATTAAAACTTAACTAATAACCGATAATATCATAAAATAAAAATTCACAGCCTGAAAATATGCGAGAGAATCCAAAACTGCATTTTAGTTCAATTAAATTTTTACAGTTCCATTTATCAATGATTAATTAATTAATAAAATTAATACTAATTAGTGAATGTCATGGATTACTACTTTGTTATTGATATTTATTTTGAGCATTTGGGCTTGAATTTCCTGGAAGGAGAAATCATCGAAATTTTAATTAATTCTGCAAATACTGCGAGCATAATTACATGATTGCGATTATAATTGTAATTACATACCAGTACATTGAAGAAAAATTCAATATCCATCAACTATTGTAAACAAACTATTGTAAACATCGAGAGGAATTTCTTCGTCATGCATTTCCATATTGATGTTCACTATTCTCGACTCGGTAAACAATCAGAACAGTTTTACACATATGACAATGGCGGTTAGGCTCTCGAGCTCTAAAAGCGTGAGAAGATAATTCTTTCACGGACAAAATGAATAAATTTATTCTATTGAATAAAAGTAAGAAATACGTGTCACGTTTATGATAAGATAATTCATGTAATAATGTAATGTAGAAGCGTAAAATTTCATTTTAATTGAATAAAAAATCAATAAATGGTGAATGCTGTTGGGAGAAAGGATCAAATTCATAAAAACTGTGAGTATGAAATTCATGGATGGGAGTAACTTCACCTTTCGCTGGGTCAAATCGAGATCTACACATTGGAAAACATCTGCGAATGCTTTTTGCCTTTTTCGTCATCCCGTTCACGTTTACCAATGCATAATGTAAAACCATGGAATACCGTGGACATGTCACCAGCAGGAAAGAGCTAAAAACACGAGCTATTTGTCAATAAAATTCTCTCATTTTTTACATCCTCGGTCGGAGTGAAATACTTGAAGAATAATGAGTTTGTGACCTAATTCCAGAACAAGATGGAATTGAGGGAAATTTTACGCTGCCTCAGAAGGAAATACCCAAAATTACATACGTAATTAATTTATCAGGTTCGTCCTTGAGATAACTGATTTGTTCCGGGTGTACACGTAAGCTCTGAGAGATAAGACGGCTTAATCCCTGTAATTTCAAACGAACGATTCATCTTATAAAATGGAAAAACTTAGAGTGATGTAAAAAACATATCTTATTACTATTGAAGGTCTTACGAGATCTTCGAATAGATAACCTACAGTATTTATTCCATAGAGTAAATCAATTATAATAAGTAATAATTTTGGGATGGGAGCATTTTTGGATTAAATTTGGAAAGGTATCTTCTTTTTCTTTTAAAAAATAATTAAAAATTATTTCCTGCAAATACAAACACTTAATTCTTTAAATTCCTAAATTACATTTCTATGAATATTTTTTAATTGTTTCCTTAATTCAAAAATGTAATAACCTTTAAGGATGTTGGCCCTCTTTTTAACCAAAATTATCGATTTTTTAATTTGTATGACAAATCGTTGATTGGATTGAGACGAAAAAATATATCGTTTTTGCATTTTACAATTGTTTTTTAACTTGCACAGCTTCATGAACGTGCAATACTTTTCTAGAATTTTTTTCAGAGTTTTAGGAATTTCGGGAAGATTTCGAAAATATGCAGGAAAATTATTTAAGTCATGACATTTTAGGAGTCATTGAATAATGATAAATTCCCACACTTGATGATTAATCTAACAAACCTTCGGGATTTCTGATTCCACATGATTATAAATTTTTGATACAACACAATATACCTTAGCATTTCAAATTGAATGGTTCACTAAATCTTTCATTCAATAAAAGATCACTTGGGAGCGTCGACAACTCGATAAAAATAACCACTATGCCTTTCACAATTGATATTCTTCCCAGCTCATCCCTTTAATCTTCACCAAATCCATCATGCAGAGTGAATTTATACGAAGGAATATCTAATACGGCTTGGAGTAAGTTCTGATGGATTCTTCCTGAAAATTTTTAGATGAATCATAAAAGATTACACAGCAGGAATTATCCTTGCGTCCCTGACATTTGAATTTTGTCTTGCATACAAGCTATTATCAAAGTCAATCCATTTCCTTGTACTTACGATCATGATCTCACCGCACCCTCGATTTATCCTGATATATTCACACTTTCTCCCGCGTTAAACGCTGATATCCGGCCTGCAAGTGATAAATTTTATAATTACCCATCGAAGATGGGAATTGGATTGAGAGTCAATAAATATTTCGAAGTTGATGATGAGGGAACTGATAGTCCAACCATCGAAAGATATTTAGTGCAGCTCAATAAACAATCCCGTCTTCGTTGTAAAAATAATTTAAAATGTCCTGATTACTGTAATAATAAATTACTTGTGAATAGCCTCCTGAGTAGTTTTATTGTTCTGATAAAGTTAATACAACTGATAAGTATTTTTATCTTTTATCTTTTACTGGTGGAAAATCTCGAGTAAAAATTATCCAGATTATATCGGGATTTTCCTCATTGTTTTTGTGACTAGATCTACGTAATATTCTATTAATTCCACAATTGACACTTGAAATTTTTTCTGAAAAATTCGGCAATTTCGCAATAATGGAAATTTCCGGGAAAAGTGATGAGTTCTGAGCAGCCCGCCTCGACTTTCATGTTCTCCTGATACTTTTTTAAAATTTGGAATTTTCAAATTTCAGTGAATACCTCTTCGATTTTCATGTTCTCCTGAAACTATTTGGTTAAGGGTTAAGTGGATTTGGTTGGTTACATGGAGGCAAAAAATTTAAGTGACTCCAGAAAATTTTTCAATTTCAGTGAATACAAATTTCGTAACGCAGAAAATAGCATCCACCATGCCGACTGCACCCTCTGACAGCGGGACTGCTACTGAGCTGCTCCCACCCTACTACCGAGGGTGGGACTCGTGGGATTTTCGTGCGCATCCTTCCCGCGCTACCTCCAGGCCCCCACTACTGGGCTAGCGCCAGGCAAGTGATGCGCTGAAGGCTGCGCACTAGAACGCAACCGAGGAGTGGGGACGTGGTAGACTCTCGCCTGGCATCACTACTACAGTGCTACTGAGTCGGCTGACAGACCGACACCCCAGCATTGCGTGTGGCGCCCTCCCTCTCTTGAGGTGCAATACTCCGACGTCGCTGAGGTCACAATAACACCATCTGTCATCCGCCATCTTTACCTATCAACCAATCACCCGATCGCATTAATCCAAACCGGCAGCCACAGGACAGAATTCAAACGTTTCAAAATGGAGTTTGTTCAGTTTATCGTGCGACCGTTACAACGGATGTTGCACTAGGATCCCCTTTTTCCAAAAAATGTAATACTTCAATAAAAATCTGTCGAAAAAGTATCGAAAACTCCGTGTAAGCCCCCCATAGTGCCCAGGCCATATACAGAATTAAAATAACCCCAGAGTAAATAAATGAATAAACAATAAACAACCTCAATCTCTCGTGTTTACCACTCGTAAAATGCTGGCCTTACCAAAGACACCAACAAAAATGGGTAAAGAGACATTAGAATTATCAGTCTCAGTTCGTAATAAACGTAAGGAACGACCTGAGACATCAAAAAAATTATTAGAACTACCAGACAAGCCTCATCCCTCTTCAAGCCTTGTGCATCTTTCCAACGACAAGTTGGAACTTGCAATTCAGCTCGAGTGCAAGATGAAGGAGATTCAGCAGCAGCAGAGGAGAATGCTAGAGCTACAGGACAAGATAAGTACAAATACTAGATTAACATTGTCACGTGAGAAATCAGAATTAGCGGAGAAGCTCGAGAGGAATATGGAGGAGCTGGAGGAACACCAGAAAAAATTGTTGGAACTCAACGATAAAAATGCGTATGACTCTCAGCTTACCACAAACCTTGAGCTACAACTCGAAGAGCAAACGGTGAAAGTGGAGGCATCGAATCGAGAGAGGGACAAGCTGGAACGTCAGTTGACATCCATGAAATCAGATGTAGCTTCACTCCAGCGAACTCTCCAGTTGGAGAGACAAGAGAGGAAAGATCTGGAGGAGACAGCCTTGGGTTTGATCAGGAGTGCAAAACAAAAGTGGGAAGCTGCAGAGAAAGATAAACTCTCTAGATTAAATAAACACATCGAGACTCAGACTACTCGTATCACTGAGCTATGCACCAGCAACAATGAAATGTCTTCCAAACTGCAGCGTGCCCAGTGTGATTTGGAGACTGCGAATGCAGAATTGCAGAAATTGAGGAGCTTCCAGGCGCAGTACAAGCAGTCGTTGGCTAAAACTCGAGAATTAAGACGTCAGAGTGTCCAGGGTGTTGAGAATAAATTGGAAGAGATATCGGTGAGGGCTCATAATCAATTGGCAGAGGTGAGGCTCAAGCTTGAACAAGAAGTAGCTAAAAACACTGAACTGGAAAGTACTTTAAGAAATGAGAGGGATGCTAATCACTGTAAGCTTTCGCGACTCAATATGGCCTTGGAATTAGCCCAATCAGAGTTGAAGGATCTTCAGGAACAACTCAGATCTACCCAGGCGATGATTCCAGCACGAGACCAGGAGATAGCGACATTGAAAAATCAGTTAAAAGAGAAATTGAACCAGATGGAAGGGATTCATGTTGCTGAGCAAACTATTTCTCAACTCACCGAACAGCTCGAGAAAGTCCAGATGGAAAATGAACAGATGAAGAATCAGCTGGAGTCTACGAGGAGCGATTTGAATGACACTTTACTGAACCTCAGGAGAAGTGAGAATATTGCTGATGATCTTGAGAAAACTGCACAGGACAAAGCAGCTCTTCAACAACGTCTTCAAGAGTCCAGGGCCAAAGAGGATGAGCAGTTACGAAAGGTCGATACCCTGGAGGAACTTCTCCAGTGTCTTCAACAAAGTGTTGCTAAATTAGAGTCTGAAAATGCAGTTTTGAAACGTTCTTCAAGTTCAATTCCCTCGGGCAGTCGAGTATCTACCACCAAGGAGAACTCTCTTAAACTATCAGAGCTTGAGCAACAAATTGAACGTCTGGAGAAACAATTGGAAACATCCAGGGAGAGTGCTGTTGCAGAACGTGAAGCGGCTCGTCAAACCCAGCGAGCACTCTGGAAAAAAGAGAAAGAACTGTCAGACGCCAATTTGGATAAGAGAATTGCTCTGAGGGAAGCCAAGACCTCTGAAGAAAAAATAAAATCACTGCAAGAAGAGAAACAGCGGCTGACGGAACGATTGAATAAGAAGTACCAGGAAGAAGAGGAGAAAGCCAAGAAATTGCTGTCTGAACTTGAGTCTGCGAAAACTTCTCTCGCTGAGATCACCAGAGAGTCTTCGAGAAATAAAATGCAGGCAGATTCAGCCCAACGAGCTCTGACACAAGCGAATAAACAAATCGAAGAGCTTCAGTCCTCCTCTGCTGGTCTCCGGAGGGAGTTGGATGCTGCGAGAAAGCAAGCGAGAACCAGTCAGGATAGAGTCGATAGTTTGAATGCAGAGAACAAACGCCTGACATTCGCCATCTCCAAGCACAATGAAGTGAAGAGCACACTGGAAGCTAAACTGGAGGAGTTGGAGCAAGAAGCAAAGGCTGATAAAGTAAATATCGACCTTCTGAAAGAAACCTGTACAGTTCTTGAAGAGCAATTGACAGATTACGAACGATTAACCAGTGACCATGAAACTAGAGAGAACACTCTAGTCCAGGAGAAAATGAAGCTGCAGAAGGAGTTAGAAGTTCTGGAGCAAAAACTTCGAGAGGCAAAGTCAGGACAGAACGAGGAGAAATCTAAAAGATTAATATCAGAGAAAGCGATGCAAAAATTGGAATCGGAGACGTCTGAAATCGAAACTGAGAGAGATAATTTATTAACTCAGAGAAACGAGTACAAGAAGCTCGCACAAGATTTGAACCAACAAGTTGCTTCATTGACATCCAAATGTGGACAGCTGGAATGTGATATTGGAGAGTTGCAGAGAGCTTTGGAGTCTGCACGAGCTGAGGCCATGATCGTCAAGGAAGAGAGTACAGATCACCTAACTCGTCTTCATGAGCTCAAGGACATCAATCAAGATCTCATGGCTGATCTCCAAAGTAGCATTGATCAAGGACAAGAGCTGAGGATCAGAATAGCAGAGTTGGAGAGTGTTCTTGAGGAGATGAGGCAGTTTTATAATGAGCACGAGATGAAATCTGAGGGAACGAGGCAGCAACAAACAAAATTAATTGATTACCTCCAGCTTAAACTCGAAGAATGCAACAAGAAGAAGAAGACCGTCTGCGATAGGATATTCAGGACTAAGCAGAAAGACAGTGTGATACCAACAGGTACAGGTATGCCAGTGGGTTACAGAGAGTTGGAGAACCAGTTAACTCGAGAACGAGCTAAAGTCAAGGCTCTCACTGAACAGCTACTGGTCCTGAAAGCAGCAGCAGTTACGTCAGCCCCAGTTTCACCCACTGTCGACTGCAAATCTGCAGAATCCAAGCCTCAGGATTCGAAGAAGTATCAGTATTCTGAGCAGCCTGATGAATTGTTATCCAGACAAACATCACTGCAAAGAGTACGACATAATATTCCTCACAGGTTCAACGTGGAGTTATCAATGCGAGCTGGGAAATGTGCAGCTTGCTTGGAGCCCATTCAATTTGGCAAAAGATCTGCTATCTGCAGTGAATGCCAGATAATGACACATCTCAAGTGCTCACTCCTCGTTCCTGCTAATTGTGGACTTCCTGGAGGTCTCACGAGACATTTAGGAAAGAATTGGAAGGCAAGCGATGAGAGTATCTCGACCCTGAGTGGCAGTGTACAGACACTGACTATTGATGAACCTGATCACGCCGAATTAGAGTCTAAAAATGTCAAGAAGAAGGATGGAGGTGCCATGGAGAGTTGGGTGAAAGTTCCAGGACGTGGAAAAGCTTCTTGGGAGAGGAAATACGTGAGGCTTGAGGATTCATGTCTTCATGTTTACGAGCATGAACCCAGTCCAGGGATGTCACCAATCAACAGGATGGAGTTGACTGATAAAAATGGATTTACAGTGATAGAGGATGTTCATCAAGCTGAGGTACCTGGCACCGCAAAATCTGACATACCGTTTATCTTCAGGGTTGAGTCCAATACTTTCAATACCTGCTGGCCTACCAACAGGCTCGATATCATGGCTTTGAGTCAAGTTGATAAGAAGAGCTGGTTGAATGCCTTGAAGTCAGTTGCCAGTCAGAATGGAGTCAGGGGAACGGCAAAGAATTCGATGGTACAGAGTGTGGTGAGGTTGGAAAAGAATAGATTGGATTTAAATTGTGTTATTGAGCTGGAGGAAGAGGGGGTACTACTAATTGGGGCTGAGGAGGGATTGTACTCGTACAGACCTGCAGTTTCCAAGGTTCTCACTGCCATCAGAGGGGTGAAACGAGTTCACCAGTTGACAGTGCATCCTCATCTGGGCTTAGCACTAATGATAGCTGGCGAGGACAGGCAGCTGGTGTCTTGTGATCTCAGACAACTTAAAAGCAATGCTCTTGCTGCTGATTGTTCAAGGCCTGCCATCAACACCAAGAGGATACTCAATGGATCTGAGAGTTGTCATCTGTACCAGCTGGAGGAAGATCTACTTTGTGCTGCTACTGCGTCCCAAGTAATTCTACTCAAGTGGAAGACTGATCAGGTTGATGGAAAATTTGTACCTGTAAGGGAATTGGAAACTCAGGAGCCATGCAGTTGTGCCATATTCACAAAGGATAATCTCATCGTGGGTTGCCAAAAGTTCTTTCAAATTGATCTGCAAAATTATGGAGTTGACGATTTCCCGGAAGAGGATGATAGCTCGGTCAAGGCTGCACTTGCTGGCGTTGCTAGACTAGGAATTTTCCCTGTTGCTGTTCTCAATGTCTCGAATGGCAGTCAGGTTGAACTTCTATTGTGTTATAATGAGTTCGGAGTCTTTGTTAATGAGAATGGGCGAAGGACTAGAATGGTGGATCCTACTTGGAGTCATCTGCCTTTTGCTTTCGGTGAGATATACATTTTTATTTAAAAGACTTCAAGAAAAAAAAACGAAGAAAAATACTAATATCGAATCATGTTTTTTTACATTAATTCTATTATTTATCTTATTGTTTGCGATGTAAATCAATTTTTTTCCTGTTTTTAAAAATACTTCTTAAGATATGACATTCGATTTCTTCAATTGATTGATTGAATCTAAATTGGTTTCTTTTTTTTTTGTTACAGCATTCAGGAAGCCTTATCTCTTTATCGTTCATTTTTCATCGGTTGAGGTAATAAAATTGACATTGGAGACATTCAGATCAACAAACAAGAGTCCAGAGAGAGCTCTTATTGATCTGAATAACCCAAGGTATTTGGGTCTTGCTGGATCCAGAGGAATCTATGTAGCTGTGATCAATTCCACTCTGGACATTCAAAGAATCGATGGGGTTGCTTCTATTCTATCGAGAATAAGTGATAGTTTGAGCAGCTTAGATTCACTCTGTAATAATGACAATGACGAGAGTAGTTCAGAATTCAGTTTCACGCCGAGTCTCATGGAGGCTTTGGACAATCCCGCCAAGAAAGTACATTTTGCTGACACCAGGGACAACTAATGTTTTTCATTTTTATTGAATTTATTTTATCAGTCAAGACTTAATTTAAAAATTCTAGATTATTTTTGTAGAAGTTTGTTCTCTATGTCTATGAAAATATAAATCGAACTTTTTTGCAGATCATTTTATCATGCAAAAAATCCTCAAGACTTTCTCGCCAAATTTTTTCTCAATCTCACTACTGATAACTTTAGGGATTGTTCATGATGTTCATGACATGACACTTCACTTGCCATTGACTACAATTAGAAATAAGAAAAAGTATTTTCTCGTTCTCATTACCATAATTTTTCAATATTGTAAACGGAATTTTGCGGTATTTATTTAATTGGTTTGTCTAACTTTGAAGATTTCCTTTGGTCTTCGTAATATTACCGGATGAGGCGTAAGGGTACTTATAACTTAATTACATTAAAATTCAAGTAGTATTCTCTATCCAAATGTAATTCTTCGATTAAGAAGAATAAGGAAATGAGTGCAGTTGCATTATTACTACAATTTCACATAAATAACTCGTTAAAAAAATTGATAAATGGAGAGGTTCTGTTTGATTACAATAAAATTATTCATAGAGTCATTTGATTGCATTTTCCAGTCAAATAATGACTTCATCACATTTGAATAATTTCCCTCGCAAGTTAATTGTTATAATTAGACACAAAGTACATAATAGAATAATGGTAATATATTTATCGTGAAAAAAGAAATAATTTTTGATAAATAAAAAAATGTAATATACGTCATGTTGTCAATATTATTTAATCTATATGCACGATAAATTCATCCTTATCCTCCCTTAAGTCATGGTCCCAATTTCCGTTTGAATTAGCAGTTCTTACATAACTAATGAAAACTGTTACATTTTTCATTAGCAAGGTTTGTTTATTTATTGATGTCCCAATTATTAACGAAAATTTACCGTCAAGTTCTGAATGAATATTGACTGAAGATGAATTTTCCAATTGAAAATTTCCATTACGTGTGCAAATTTTTCAAAGAATAAACGAAACTAATTATTTTGAGGAATTAAAAATGCAATTCAAGGAGATCTTTATTTCTTCCAAGTAATGGTGGAATTTTTTATTACGACTGATCATTTTGCTGAATTGATTTTAGACAATCGACCTGAATTTATTGAATAATTTGTAAAACATTCAAAAAGTAAAGTTAATAAAAATTGATTAAGTTATTAATTAAGTGATTAAATAAAAAAGATATCGTCTCTTCCATTGAAAATCGGAATATAGTTCTGAAAAAAGGTGATCAATTAGAGCTGATGGGACAGTTCATTTTCGATATGAAAAAGTAAAACTTTAATTACAATTATCGTTTTTTTTTCATGTAAGTACCAATAGTTTGTGCAGAAATTTTCCTCTTGGGAAATAAACATATATGATTGTGGGAACAACTAGAAAACATTCAATCTTGATTAACATATGGATAATCTATGCAGAGTAATGCGACATCCGGCAACCCCTGACACTGAGCTGTATCGGAGAATATTCATTTGGGATACATAAAGGGGACATTAAAGACCGTTTTTTTTTCAAACCTTCAAGAATCAATTTGCTGTTGAACAATGAACAAGTTCAATGACCTGGCAAGAATATTCCCATGGTTATCGTCCTCTGTTCAATTATTGTCTCCTGTTTCGCTGCATCTGACGTACATGCGGCCCCAAATTCCACTTAAACGCATAAAACATTTTCCTGTTTATTCTTTTTGGTTTTACTTCACCGGTTAGCCTATTAGAATTTTAGATATAAAAACTATAATTATCAAAATAAAAATATAAGAAAGAATGAGCATAAAAATTAGTGCATTCGGAATTTTTTTTTGCTGATGGAGAAATCCCGCATTATTTTCTACTTCGGCATTTAAGGACCGGTTGGATTATCTGGAAAAGATAATTTACTCCAAAATTGGGATTTCTAATTACTCTGGCAATTAATCGTTTTTTTCAATAGTGGTTAGCTAGCGTTATAGCAGTTGTCAACGACTAGAACGCTAGCGAACAATTATCGGAAAAAACAATTAATTGGTGGAGTAATTAGGAATCCCAATTTTGGAGTAAATTATGTTTCCGAGATACTCCATCCGGCCCTTAAATGATTTCGGTATTTTCAAATGATCATTGCCAAAATGCTATGATCGTATAATAATTTTCCTGCGTTTTTTCTCAACTCCTCAAACATCCGTACAAACAGAAAAAAACACAGAAAAATTATTGCACACTTATGAAACTTCGTGAGTCATCGAATAATCAGAAGATGCAAAAACGCTCGACTTTTCGAGCCGACCCGACCACGAATTTGCCAGAAAACTCAAAAGCCGCTTAAATTCACCACAAAACATTTATAATCGAGATATCCCCGACAATTTTCTGAAAAAAATTATATAACATGTAAATAATATGACGTTCTGCAAAATTGTATTGGAATTTGTGATTTCTGTTGTTTTTTACATTTTTTGAAATTTTCTGTCATTATTTAATAGAATCTTTTCTTGAGATTTTGATTTCGGCATGGATAAAGAAATCACGCCTGCAATATTTAGGTCACCCTTTTCAAACCCTTCCGTGAACCCTAGTCCAGAGCTGGTTTAATAAATGACTCCCATCAAGTTCACATTAAAATTTGATTTCCATTTAAATAAGTTCACAAGTTGGAAAGGGTATGGAGTTGACCCAAGAGGTTCAATCGCTATTTCAAAGGAAGAATCGAAAAGATAGTGGGAGAAACCGTTGTTATAAAAACTTCTGTGACAGACTGAATCGAACTATTGTATCACTTTTCCTCATTCCGAGTGTCAGTTGGGGGAAGTTAATTTTATTTCAATTAAACAAGTCCCGATCAGCAAAAGTCCCTCAACAATTCCATCAAAATCTTACATTCCATGTGAAAAGTGCAAATTTCTGTTAACAATAATCGAATCACGAATTATTCAAGCGATTCTCGGTGAACTCATAGTATTTTTCAAGTTTAAATTGTAAAAGGGAAGAGAAACCACGAAGAATGGCGACGAAAGAGGAACCTCGTCACTACAATCCCTTCCTCAAGGCTCCAGTTGATCCTGGCGATGAGATTGTAATATCTGGAATGTCTGGGAGATTTCCAGAGTCTGATAATATGAAATTATTCACTGAGAATCTCATGAATAAAGTCGATCTAGTAACTGACGACGGCCGTCGTTGGAAATTAGGTAATTTATTTCAAAGAGTTCATAATCGTCGATTTTTATTCTTAAATTAATAGTTATGACTTTTCATTTATATCTTCTGAGCATTTATAATAATTTGGTTTTTGATTCCCAAGGGAAGATATTATAAAATCACACCGGGTGATTCGATTTCTTTCAATAATTTATGAATTCATTACTCAATCTTTCAGGCTCACTCAGTCAGTTGAATAATGCATTTTGTTTTTCAATTTGGTATAGATCATCCAGAAATTCCCCAGAGAACTGGAAAAATAAATAATGTCTCGAAATTTGATGCCTTGTTTTTTGGAGTGCATTTTAAACAAGCGCATACTATGGATCCCATGTGTAGAATGTTGTTGGAACATACTTATGAAGCTATTATTGATGCTGGTGTAAATCCGAGGCAGTTGAGGGGAACCAGAACAGGAGTTTTCATCGGTGCTTGTTTCTCTGAGTCTGAGAAGACATGGTTCTATGAAAAACTCCAGGTGAACATAATTCATTATGCCAATTTAAGATGTTCTGCACTCTTTCCACTAAAATCAAAGTTTTCTCTCGTTTTTCTGAGAAACTCCCAAGGAGATTGAGCAGAAAAAACATACGGTTTCTGCGTTTTATAATTATTTCATGCATTTTATCTAAAATTTAAAAAACAATACCAAAAAGTAAAAACGTTATATTTCTTCACGTCGATCCCGTGGATAATTTGTCAGGAAAAGAAAGGGACTCGAATACCCGGACACAGAGACTTTTTCGCAAATCGTCATTGATGTCTAGATCTAATCGACTTGTTTTACTCATAAATAGGTCAATGGTTTTGGAATCACTGGATGTAGCAGAGCCATGTTAGCAAATCGAGTGTCCTACTGGTTAGGGATAACAGGTCCAAGTTATACTATCGATTCGGCCTGTAGTTCAAGTCTCTTCGCCATGGAGCACGCATACAGAGCTATTAGAAATGGCCAGTGTGATGCTGCCATAGTTGGTGGTGCTAATCTTTGCTTGCATCCTTATGTATCTTTGCAGTTCTCTCGTTTAGGTAAATAATGCAAAAAGAAATGAAGTAGGATTTCATTAATACCTCGAGGGAAAAATCCAAAAGTCCAATTATTTTTAAACAAATCTATGGAGTTAGAAACTGAATTGAAAAATATGATGATGTTTCAGGTGTTCTAGCTCCTGACGGCCGCTGCAAATCATTTGACGCTGATGCAAATGGTTACACAAGAAGTGAAACCGTTGGTGTTGCATTCCTCCAGAAATCCAAGGACGCAAAACGTATCTATGCAACTGTCATCCACGGAAAAACCAACTGTGATGGATTCAAAGAGCAGGGAATTACGTTTCCATCGAGTGTAATGCAGAGTGCTCTTCTCAAAGAGTTCTATGAAGAATGCAAAGTTTCTCCATTATCTTTATCCTACATTGAGGCTCATGGAACTGGAACGAAAGTGGGAGATCCTGAGGAGGTGAATGCCATTGAATCTGTCTTCTGTCAGGGGCGAAAGGAATCCCTGATGATTGGCTCAGTGAAATCAAATCTTGGCCATGCAGAGCCAGCCAGTGGAATGGCGCAAATAGCAAAAGTAGTGATTGCTAATGAAACTGGTGTACTTCCACCGAATCTCCATTACAATCGGCCAAGGGAGGGTGTCAAAGCTCTTGAGGAAGGAAGAATAGTTGTTGTGTCTGAACCAACGCCGTGGAAAGGCGGATACGTTGGAGTCAGTTCGTTTGGCTTTGGTGGTGCTAATGCCCATATTCTTCTCAAGTCAAATCCAAAGGAGAAGATCAATGGTGGAGCACCTCAGGATGATCTCCCTAGGCTTGTTGTTGCTTCTGGAAGAACTGAGGAGGCGGTCGATGCTATTCTCAAAGATGTAGGTAGACAGTTTAGTCCTTGAACACTGGGATTAACTTGTACTATCTTTCGAACAGAATTTATTATTTGAGTTTCATTCTCCTGGTGTTAAATATTCCTGAATTTGAGTGTCATTCTATATTGCTAATGATTATCAAATATTGACAATGGTTAACAGCGTATTTCTAATAATTTTAATGCGAATTTAGTGGAAATAACTTATTTCTTCTTCACAGCAAAAGCAGATAACAGATATCTTAATTGGGGTGAATGATAATTTCTGTTATTGAATTAAGGTGGAGAGCCGCCCAGTTGATGTAGAATTCGTCCGACTGCTCCAAGAGATTTACACAGAGGACATCTCAGGTCACTTATATCGAGGCTACACAGTCCTGGGTGCAGTGAATTCCAATAAAAAGCCACGAGATATTGAGCATTATCCAGGTGCAAAGCGGCCAATCTGGTTTGTCTTCTCGGGAATGGGTTCACAGTGGCCCACCATGGGTGCATCTCTCCTACGCTTTCCAGTTTTTGCCAATGCTATAAAAAAATGTGACGCAGTTTTGAAACCACGTGGAATCGATATTTACAATATCCTCGTGAACCCCGACAAATTAATTTTCGAGAATATTGTGAATTCCTTCGTTGGAATAGCTGCAGTGCAGATTGGTTTGGTCGATTTGCTAACATCTTTGGGAATAGTTCCTGATGGGATAATTGGGCACTCTGTGGGAGAGCTGGGATGTGCCTATGCAGATGGTTGTTTTACGGCTGAGCAGATGGTCCTGGCAGCACATGCTCGAGGTTTAGCTTCAATTGAAGTTGACACAATCAAAGGTTCAATGGCAGCTGTGGGCCTTGGTTATGAAGACGTCAAGGATCTCTGCCCACCAGACATCGAAGTTGCATGTCACAATGGACCTGAGAGCAGCACCATAAGTGGACCAGCGGCTTCAATGAAAGAATTCGTTGCTAAACTCACAGAGAATAAGATTTTCGCTCGTGAAGTTGCGTGCAGCAACATTGCTTACCACAGCCGTTATATCGCCAAAGCTGGACCAAAACTCCTTGCCTACCTGAAGGAAGTCGTACCGGTTCCTAAACCCCGGAGTTCCAAGTGGCTCAGCACATCTGTACCTCGATCCAAGTGGAATTCTCCTGAGGCTAAAATCTCATCTCCTGAATATCACACGAACAATCTTCTTTCTTCTGTTCTTTTCGAAGAGACATCTGCACTGATTCCTAAAGATGCTGTTACCATTGAAATCGCACCTCATGGCCTTCTTCAGGCTATTCTGAAGAGATCACTCAATCCTGAGGTGAGCAATATTGCTCTCACCCAACGTGGACACAAGGACAATGTCGAAGTCTTTCTTCAGGCTATTGGAAAGCTCTATGATGTTGGATTGCAACCGATAATCAGTAATTTGTATCCTGAAGTCGAATTCCCGGTGTCGAGGGGAACTCCCATGATTTCACCACTTGTCAGGTGGGAGCATTCGGATGATTGGTATGTCACTTCGTACAGAATGCAGGAGAAAATCACCTCTGGGGAGAGAGTTATGGAGTTAACACTTGCTGATGAAGACTATGAGTACATGGGGGGACATGTTATCGATGGAAGGAATTTACTGCCTGCTACGGGGTATCTTGCACTCATTTGGGAGACGGTAGGGATGATGAGGGGAGAGATGTACACTGAAGTTCCGGTTGTCTTTGAGGATGTCAAGTTCCTCAGAGCTACTACTGTCTCTAAGGAACCCTTGGAGATTACTTTGATGGTTCAGAAGGGTAAAATTATTGTTTTACATAATGAAATTATATTATTATTCGAAAATGATTCTATGCAAGTAAAAAAATAACTGTTTCTTCAGTAACAACACGGAATTTCGATGGAAATTAGTCGTTATTGATTATTTGAAGAGATTGCACTGCTGTATTCGGCGTAGAAAAAATAATTTATGCAATTATTTATGCCCTGAATAATGCCACAACAAATTGACGAGGGTTTTTTTTTAACAATTATTTTAGAGATTTGGCGGAGTATTCATCAGATGATTCGAATCAGATGATAGCGCAATTGAAAATTGTGCGGTGCACACTGCCGTCTGTCTGGATAATTGATGTTGAGTACAATTATTTTTAGGAACTGGACGATTCGAAGTCGTGGAGGGTGGAGTAGCAGTTGTCACTGGATTCGTTCGCCATGTCCAGAACCCCAAACAGGAACAAATAATTTTTCCTCATTCAAGTGAGGATGAGCCAGAGGAGATGGACACGAAAGACGTGTACAAAGAGCTAAGACTTCGAGGATATCAATATTCTGGATTGTTCAAGGGTATCAAGAGTGCCACTACCGATGGATCCAAGGGAACACTCAATTGGTCAAATAATTGGGTGACATTCATGGACACCATGCTGCAAATGGAAATTTTAGGAATGGATACGCGTAATCTCTCGGTACCTGTTGCCATTCAGAAATTGACCATTGATACCAAAACGCATCTTCAACAAATTCGTGATATGCCAGATGAAGAAAAAGGTAATCTACCTTAATTTGAGATTTTTCGCTTTCGAATAGAATTATTGTATTCGTTGAAATTGGATTTTTGTTTTTTTGTTTTTGCAGAATTCAAGGTTTACACGAGCTCAGAGCACAACGTAGTTCATTCCGGTGGAGTCCAAATTCGGGGTCTAAAAGCAACTGTAATTTCTCGTCGAAAACCCGCTGGTGAGCCAGTCCTAGAGACGTACAATTTCGTGGCTCACCGAGACTGGGCGGCGATTTCCCTGAAAGAGGCAATCCGCCTTGCTACGCACCTCGCTCTGGAGAATCATCTGGCAATCAAAGTGAAAACTCTAGAATTTCTTGAAGCAGGTGAAAAATATATTCCCGAAGACCTCCTTTCCCCTCTCCTCGGTGAAACCTTGGCAGATCTCCCGATGATCCAGGCGGACGTCAACATCGTCGCCCCTGAGAATCCCTTCGAAGAAGAGGAACTTCCACAGACCATCAACGTCATAGAACCAAAGAAATTAACTTCAGATACCAACGCCATAATTCTAGCTGGTCGAAATCTCTTAGCTCCTCAGAAAAGTTCTATTCTTGGGGATCTCCTCTCATCCCTGAAGGACGGTGCCTTTGTCATGACTTTGGAATCCTCGTCCCCAGAGGATATCAATTTATCCCTGAAGAAACACGAACTCAACATCATTTTGGAGAAACTCGTTGGCAATACGAAATTCTTCCTCCTTAGGAAGATAGAACCAATACCTAAAAATACTATTATAATTCAGGTACGTACGTGTCTTCATTTATTTAACAATTGCTGAAGACATCATTAATATTTTCTTCTCCCAATTTTCACTCTCTTTCATTTTTATTTCTGCAACGCATTCCCTGAAATTGAAAATTCAGAGAGAAAATAAATGTCCGCGTGCCCAGCGACAATTCCTCAAATGATTATTTCCGACAGAATGATAATAATTAATGATTTATTCAGGTAAACAACGAAGAATTTAGTTGGGTAAATAGTTTAAAAGCAGCTCTAAAAGCGGAGATAGAACACGAAACCTCGGGCTCCTCTCGGGTTTTCCTAATAAGCGATGGAAGTTTCGAAAATGGTCTCCTTGGCCTAGTAAATTGTCTCCGAAAGGAACCAGGAGGTGAAATTATCCGAGCAATTCTTCTCCAGGACCCCAAGTCCCCGGAATTCTCCACCCTGAATCCCCTGTACTCTGACCACCTGAAACTTGACCTTGTGATAAACGTTCTGCGATCAAAGAACACCTGGGGATCTTACAGACACCACCAGCTGCTGTCAAACCAGCCTCGACCAGTGCATCACGCCTGGGCAAATCAACTCGTTAAAGGTGACCTCAGCTCTTTTGCATGGATGGAAGGCTCCATTACTCCTGAGTGCAAAAATCCAGAGCTCGTGAGTGTTGTCTACTCATCCCTGAATTTCAGAGACGTCATGATGGCTACAGGCAAATTGTCCAGCGAACTCGCCAGTAAAACTCGAGGAGCGTCTGATTGTGTCCTTGGATTTGAGTTCGCCGGGATCACTCGAGATGGTCGAAGGGTTATGGGTCTCCTGAACACCCATCGAGCAATAACGAATTATCTAGTCAACGATCCAACTCTCACATGGGAAATTCCTGATGCCTGGTCGCTGGAAGAGGCAGCAACAATTCCCTGCGTTTACGCCACCTGTTACTATGCTTTTTACACCACTGGAGGCATTAAAAAAGGAATGAAGATATTGATTCATGCTGGATCTGGTGGTGTTGGACAAGCGGCGATCACTCTTGCCCTTTGGGTGGGCTGTGAGGTCTTCACAACTGTTGGAACTCCACAGAAACGAGAATTTATTAGGAAAACTTTTCCACAAATACCAGAAGATCATATTGGAAATTCCAGGGATACTAGCTTCGAGCAGATGGTGATGGAGCAGACTGATGGCCAAGGGGTGGATATTGTCCTGAATTCATTGGCAGATGATAAGCTCCAGGCATCAGTTAGGTGTTTGGCTGATGGGGGCAGGTTCTTGGAGATTGGCAAGTTCGATATGGTTAATGATAGTCCTCTGGGGATGGCTATCTTTCTCAAAGAGATCAGTTTTCATGGGGTTCTACTCGATAGGCTGTTTAATGCTCCTCCTGAAAAAAAAATGGAGGTCAATAAAATGATGCAGGCTGGACTTGATGTTGGCGCAATTAAGCCACTGAATATGACTATCTTTGAAAGGGATCAGATCGAAGCAGCTTTCAGGTACATGGCTGCTGGAAAACATATCGGAAAGGTGAGCATTTGTGAGAAAAATTTTACAGAAATTATATTGCCGACGTAGTCTATAAAACTTGATAGGAAAACTTAGACTTAAACTTGATTTACAGAATGCTCATGTTTTGAGATATGAATAATTGGTGAAATAATTGGAACATAAGGATTCTAGGAGAGGATATCAAGGAGTAGGCTTAGCACTGAAGAAAATCAACAGAAAAACAATTTTCCACTGAAATTAATGGAATTATTACGTTTGATTACAGGTACTAATCAAAATTCAGAACGAAAACAAGTTGAATCTTCCTATCTCAGCCCGCCCAGTGTATCAGTGCATCAAAGACCGTTCCTATCTCATCCTCGGAGGACTTGGTGGCTTTGGCGTCGAATTGGCTGATTGGCTAATCCTTCGAGGTGCTAAAAATCTCATCCTGACATCTCGCACAGGAGTCAATAACGGTTACCAACGAATGAGAATAAAGCTCTGGCGGAGTTATGGTGCCAAGATCACGATAATCTCTGGGAAAAATGCAGCGAACCCGAAGGACTGCGAGGAGATTCTCACAGTGGCATCGAAACAAGCTCCATTGGATGCAATTTACAATCTCGCAGCTGTCCTCAAAGACGGCGTCTGGGAAAATCAAACACCAGAGGCATTCGAAGAGTGTTTCGAAGCTAAAGCTTGGAGTACCAGGAATCTTGATAAACTATCCAGAAAATTATGTCCACAACTCCGTCATTTCGTTGTTTTCTCGTCAGTTGCCTGTGGACGTGGGAATGCAGGACAAATGAGCTATGCAATGGCCAACTCAGTTATGGAGAGAATTTGTGAGAGACGAGCTGCTGAGGGTCTTCCAGCGCTGGCAATTCAGTGGGGAGCTGTTGGAGACGTTGGTCTCGTGGCAAGGATGCAGGAAAGTGACAAAGAGCTCGTGATCGGAGGTACTCTCCAGCAGAGGATAACATCCTGTCTTCACGAACTCGATGGCTTCCTCAATCAGACCTCTCCAATCGTTGGCAGCATGGTGGTCGCTGAGAAGAGAGCTGGTGGCTCTGGTTCTCTCAATATTGTCGATACTGTACTCAATATTATGGGTCTCAAAGACCTGAAGTCAGTGGGTGTCCATACGTCACTTGCTGAGCTCGGTATGGACTCTATGATGGCTGTAGAAATCAGACAGACATTGGAGCGCGAGTTCGAGATATTCTTGACAGCTCAGGATATTCGTGGATTGAATTTTGCAAAGTTGATTGAAATGAACTCAAAGGATCTAGCATTGAAAAAGAAAACTACGAAAGTAATTGCGGGTGATGTGCCCACAGGGATGAAATTACTCCTCAGATTGTTAGGGGAAGATCAATCAATGAAGGAAGTATGCATGAAACTCTCGACGAAGGACGACACTGGAAGGCAGGAGGTGTTCTTGATTCCAGGTATTGAGGGATGTGGTGTTGTCTTCTCGAATCTTGCTCATAGGATCAGGGCACCTGCTAGCTGCTTGCAGTTGAATAATATGGACACGCAGTACCGATCTATCCCGGAAATGGCTGATCAATTGTTACCTGTAAGTACCTGTTCTTCGTCGATCCATACACGAGTCTAGCTATGAAGTGAAAAGTCAAGAAGATAATTACGATATCATTGAAATATTTTTCAGTACATCCTGAAGAGGAATCAAGGAAGGAGAAATTTCGTTCTTGTTGGATACTCGTACGGATCACTTGTTGCTATTGAATTGGCGAGGAGATTAGAAGCTGAGGCTTACAGTGGAAAACTTATCCTCATCGATGGTGCTCCACTCTTCATGAAAGCCATCAAGGACACACAATTAGCATCGGAAAATAATGAGGAATTACAGACAAATATTCTTGTTGGTATCGCCGATATTGCTACACCCGAAGACAGTGGAGAGCTGATGATAGAACTCAAGAAATGTAATTCTTGGGAGAAAAAATTGGATGTCTTCATGGCACGTGTATCGGCTGAGGCTTTGGGAATTTCTGTCGAACAACGAAGAAATATTTGCACTTGTATTTATAACCGTTTAGTAGCACTGGGTAATTACAATATTTCTAGTATTCCAGCTCTCAGGACTCCCATCACTCTTCTGAAACCAAGTATTGAAACTCTGAAGAATTTACCACCAGATTATGATCTAGGCAAGGTACAGACATTTTTTAATTTTTTAATTTTTCGTTCAAATTCAACTTTCACTGGAATCCAATTCTGTATTATTTTATATTAATGTTTTTTAGATAACGAAGGAAAAAGTGGAGTGTCACACTCTTGATGGAAATCATGTTACTATACTCGATAATGAAAAAGTAACATCTGCGATTAATGGAGAGCCTCTCGAAGATGCAGCAGCATTCAAAGCCAGCATTATGGAAGACGGAAAGATCCTCACACCAATTTATGACTCCAATCCTGGAACATCAATTAGTTAGAGAAAAAAAATCACCATTCACTCGAGCCATTGCAATGTCACGACAAACTTCCTACTTCCCTGTCCCCAGGATATTTATTTCTTTCAGGACAGTTTATTTCGTAGTTCGCGTAATATCTATCTTAATCACTCATACCTTTCATAAATTAGTAAGTTGGAAATTAGAATAAGTATCAATGATTTATTTTTTCCTTTGAATTTCTTTCTAAATAAAAATAAAGGAATAAATATCAAGAATATTTCAATGTTTGTATCTTTGAATTGATACGCAATTTGTGGTGTTCTGTATCATTTATGTAATTTTCAAATTGTTTCGATGAAAAAAATTGAGTATTGGTTGTAGAACCGATTCGATGATCAACAGAATATGAAAAATAATTTCATGAAATGAAGCTGATTGATATATTTCTAGTTTGTCAGATCATTGAACGTTTTTAATACTTAGGATTGGTTATATCCATCTCTAGGGAGTGAACGACCATTGATGGCTGTGCAAATTAGTGGAAGAAAGGAATAAGTTTGACTGATAAGATTGTAGAAATTTTATTGTAAAATTTCTATCATCAAATAAAATTTACTGAGACTTCTATAAATTCTGGAGAGAAAAAAATCGAAGGGATGGGGATAAACAAACAAAATTAATTCACGAATTATCAGTAAATTTTTGTTGATTATTCTTTTTAGTTTTGATTGCTTCCACTTTTGGGCCAATCCGATATTTTCATAATAAATAGAGAAATGTAAATTGAATTATAATATGTTCTTATCAAAAATTGTAACTGACCGGAAACTTTCTACAGATTATTTCCGCTTGTGATTATCAACAAATATAAATCCATTATTTAATGTTTGACAGCAGAGAGGCAGGGGTAATTCAGATAATTTTTACATTTTTTTCCATGAAGGTCTTGAATAAAAATTCTCTATTGAGGCTGTCCATTAGGTGATAGCCATGAATGAATTAATTAGCATTGTCATCACTTCATTAATTAATTGTGTTAATTCATATTCAAATTGGATTGAAACAGAATGAAAAATTTTTTTTGCTCGTTTGCTTGAAAATGGAAGCACACGATCGAATCTTACAAAGTTGAGAGTGAATTGAAGTAATTGAAGTAATTAAAAATCGAATTGAGTATACTGGAAATGTAGAAAAATAAAAAAGAGTTGAGTGTAAATAATTTCAATGTTATTCTAGCTCCACTGATCCTAAAAGGAATTTCTAAATCGAAAAATTAAAAGCTTCTCCTATTCCTGCCTTCCACTTTGTGAGTGCTGGGTGAATTCGAGTGCATTATGATAATAAATGATATAGAATTCGACCTTGCAGCCACAAAAAAATAATAATGTATTTTTGAGAGCTTTAAAAAATAGATTCCGCAGAGATATTCAGGAATAATAATTACTACATAATGAGTGGACGAGTTCAATACTCTCGAAAAGTATTTATAAATTCCTGAACAGTAAAGCGACAATATTCACTTCTTCCAATGAAGCAAGGAACCGGTATTATTTTCTAAAATTACACAGAGAGGATAAAAATGAGGATGTTCTGGTTTCTTTTACCCAACCCTCACAGTTTTTTGAGGCTTCTGACAAATTCTGACATTTTTAAATTTCATCATTATTTCATGATTCATGAAGTTTGACTCATGCAATGATTTTCCCGGTTTTTTTATAAAGTTTTATTTTTTTAATTTGAATTCTCGATTACATTATGTATAAATTAATTAGATTTTATCAATAAATATTTGAATATGGAAACTTCATTGTCTAGGACCAGTGCTTAACGATCTACAATAGCTTATTTTCATGACTTCAAATATCCGGGAAACGTAAAAAAAAAAGTAGAAATTGAATTCCACCGTTAATTAATGCATTCTATAATGAGAAACAGATAGAATTTAATATGTATTAGAGGAAAACTAATTCAATTCTTTCGTTATGTAAATCATTATCAGATTAGGATTATAGCCAATGGACGAGTTGTGTCACCGAAATTGAGGAGAAATTGAATAGAATTTAAGTTTCAATATATTCAAGTGCACTGTCTTTAGAATTATTCAGAAGTGTGAATGTAAATAGTGACTAGTACTGCTAGCGAGCGGAAGTCGTTCTCCATCTGATTCTGATTAGAGCAATTGCGCAAAATAATTCTGGAATTAAATAATATCGAATTGACCCGGGCGGCTAATCAAATCCCCTTATTTCGTATGCTAATTCTAGAGAGTGGACAAGGGGTGCTATAAGAAGACTAGGACGGCCTCAAGCCATTTATTACGCTCACGTTAATTCAGAGATTCAGTTTATGGAATCGTTGCGTGGAACCGCTGTTATTTCTCAATTCAATTCCATTGCTCTCTCACGTAAACATAATAAATTGCAAGAATAGTTTTTAATGTGTGGATAGACAATTATCTAGTTCAGTGAAATCGGTAAATACATTATGGTATTGCAAGAAGATCGTCCCTACAATCCCATTTTGCGAGCACCGATGGATCCTGACGAAGAAATCGTTATATCTGGAATATCGGGGAGATTTCCAGAGTCAGATAACATGAAACTATTTTGTGATAATCTTATGAATAAAGTGGATTTGATTACTGATGATTCTCGGCGTTGGATACTAGGTGACCAAAAATTGATAAGATCACTAATTCATTAAAAGTATTCGCTAATCGACTAATATTTCACCAGCGATTAACGATCGATCGCCGATCGATCCTTCTGCGATTTCTCTCGGACTGATGATTCTCAGGTTATTTTAGAAGAGAAAAGTCCAATAAAAATTACTAAAAAAAACACGGAAAAATTACAAAGTGTAGTAATTGTTTAAATGTAAGAATTCTGTGAAATTTCCGTTAAATTTTACAGTTTCCAGAGAAAATATATCATTTTTTCGTACACTTTTGGTGGCAGACCCAAAAATCTACTGACCTTTTCACATTTTTCTTCTATATTTCTATAAAAATGATTAAATAATCCCTTAAAATCATTCTCGCTTACAAATTATGTGAAATACTCCATAATTTTTCTTAAATATTTGTCTTCTTGTAGAAGAATCGCGTAATGCATCATGAATTTTTCACTCCAGTCCGATTTATCGTAGTGTTCAAAAATTTTTCTTTAGCCCATCGGTTTTTCTTTTTTAGATCACCCGGAAATTCCCCAGGCTACAGGAAAAGTCAATAATATTGAGAAGTTCGATGCCGATTTCTTTAGTTATGACTTCAAGGAAGCTCATACTATGGATCCACAAGGTAGAATGTTGCTGGAGCACGCTTATGAAGCAATTGTTGATGCTGGAGTCAATCCCAAGAGCTTGAGGGGCACCAACACCGGGGTATTCGTTGGAGCCTGTTGTGCAGAGTCCGAAATCGTTTGGATTTATCAAAAACTTCAGGTACTTTCCTCCATTCCTCTATTCCACTGAGAGAAAAAAAATAATTAAAAATTACCTATCCATTTGGTACCCGAGTTCTTTTTTAGCAGTTCGGGGAAAATTACCCTGCCACTAAAAATGTGTCGACTGTTCAGTAGAAGTCATCCAAGTCATCCCAGCATTTTTTAATTGTTCCTCGATATCTCATCCAGTTAATATTTATTATTAATTTGGTGAACAGAAAGATGGCTATGGTGTTACTGGATCGTGCCGAGCGATGCTGGCAAATCGGTTGACTCAATGGCTTGGAGTAAGAGGACCAAGTTATACTGTCGATTCCGCCTGCAGCTCCAGCCTCTTCGCCATGGAGCACGCATACAGAGCTATTCGGACAGGTCTATGTGATTATGCCCTCGTTGGTGGCACCAATCTTTGTCTCCATCCTTATGTTTCATTCCAATTCGCACGCCTAGGTAAGAACCTGCAATTAAATTTACTCAACGTCCTGAATACCGAGGAAATAAATTGGAGAATATAATGGATATGGATGAATTTAGATGGCGTATTTTTTGAGAATATTGAAAAATAAAAAATGTATGAAAACTGGCGTTTTCATGTGTAATTAAAAGGAAAAATTGAAATCGCAAAAAAACACCGTGGCACCTTTAGACTGACCAAATTTTTTTGGTGAAAAAAAAATGAGCAGAAATGCATTGAGCTCTCTCCCATAATTATAGAATTTAATTTCAGGTGTTTTATCTCGTGATGGTCGATCGAAATCGTTTGACAATAACGCGAATGGTTACGCCAGGGCTGAGACCATAAGCGTAGCATTCCTGCAAAAATCCAAAGACGCAAAACGTATTTATGCAACTGTTGTTCACGCAAAGACTAACTGCGACGGCTTCAAACCCCAGGGGATTACTTTCCCATCGAGTAAGATTCAGAGTGTTCTTCTAAAAGATTTCTATGAAGAGTGCAGAGTCTCGCCATCATCGCTGGCATATCTTGAGACTCACGGTACTGGAACTAAAGTGGGAGATCCCGAAGAGCTAAATGCAATTGAAACAGTTTTCTGTCCGGGGAGGAAAGAGCCATTGATAATTGGTTCAGTCAAATCAAATATTGGTCACGCTGAACCAGCCAGTGGAATGGGTCAAATAGCTAAAGTAGTTATTGCCAATGAAACCGGTGTTATTCCACCAAATCTGCACTATAAAGAGCCGCGTGAAGGTGTTGAAGCTCTTGCTGATGGAAGACTCAAAGTTGTCACTGAATTAACGCCTTGGAGTGGAGGATATGTTGGGATCAGTTCGTTTGGCTTTGGTGGTGCCAATGCGCACGTACTCCTTAAATCGTTTTCTAAGAAAAAAATTAATGGTGGAGCTCCTCAGGATGGCCTCCCGAGACTGATTGTTGCTTCTGGAAGAACTGAAGAGGCTGTAGACTTTATATTGACAGATGTAAGTCAAATCCTTGATTCTCTCCGTAATCAGTAGAAATGCAAGTCTCTTCTTTTTAAATAAAATTTTCTTTTGTGATTCAGATTGAAAACCGTCCGATTGATGTAGAATACATCCGCCTGTTGCATGATCTTCACGCAGAGAATCTTTCAGGTCACTTTTATCGAGGCTATACGATCCTGAGTGGCTCAGGTGTAGAGAACAAGCCTCGAGAAATCCAGCATTATTCAGAAATCAAGCGACCTGTTTGGTTCGTCTTCTCGGAATCGGATGCCTGGTGGACAACGAAATGCCACTCCCTCGTCGAATTCCCAATCTTCGCAAATGCTATAAGCAAATGCGATGCAATTCTCAAGCCTTGTGGGATCAATGTCTACAGCATCTTGATGAATAATGACGGACAAATGTCCAATCATGTCTTGAGTTCCTTTGTTGGCAAAACTGCTGTCCGCATCGGACTCGTCGACCTTCTGACATCATTAGGAATACATCCAGATGGTATAATTGGATTTTCACGTGGAGAACTGGACTGTGGGTACGCTGATGGTTCTCTCACCCTAGAGCAAACCATCCTCGCGGCGTACTGGGCAGGTTTAGCACTCTTGGAGATAAAAACAATAACTGGTTCAATGGCAAAAGTCAGTCTTGGTCACCAGGAGCTTCAAAACCTCTGCCCAGCAGATATCCAGGTTACCTACGAGGGCCCTGGAAACTCTATTATAAGCGGACCAGAAGAGTCCATCAAAGCTTTCGTAGCTCATTTGACTTCAAACAAATTTCAGGCTCAGGAAATTCGCTGTCACGACATCCCTTATTACAGTAGACACGTTGCAGGCATTGAATCAAAGATATTTACGCACCTGAAGAAAGCGATCCCAGAGGCGAAACCTAGAAGTTCTAAATGGTACAGCACATCTGCACTCGATTCTCAATGGGACTCGTCTCAGACTAGATTCTCATCAGCAAAATATCACACAAATAGTTTCCTCTCGCCCATTCTCTGTGATGGCACATCAACATTCATCCCTGAAGAAGCCATTATTATTGAGATTGGGGCTCATGGGCTTTCCGAAGACATCCCGAAGAAATCTCCCAACCCGAAGAAGACACACATAAATCTCCTTCAAGGTAGATATGAAAACAATGTTGAAGCTTTCCTCCATGCAATTGGAAAATCGTATGAAATTGGGATGCAGCCCAAAATATGGAATCTCTACCCGGAAGTAAAATTCCCGGTATCTAGGGGGACGCCTATGATATCTCCTCTTATCAAGTGGAATCATTCTGAGGACTGGTATGTGACATCCTATCAGGAGCAGGAGAAGATAACATCTGGAGAGAGAACGCTGGAGTTGTCACTCTCTGATGAGGACTATGAGTACATGAGTGGTCATATTATCGATGGACGGAATCTACTCCCTGCGATGGGATATTTAACACTCATCTGGGAAACTCTGGGAATGCTCAGGGGAAGATTGTACACTGAAGTACCTGTTATTTTCGAGGATGTTAATTTCGTGAGGGCAACAACAGTCACGAAAGAGCCCATCAAGATAACTCTTATGATTCAGAAAGGTGAAATGAACATGATGATTTTAATATTACGTTGTCATATATTTTTCTGGATTATTCTGAGTGAAAAATTCCATTCGATGAGTCTTTCCTGTTACCAGTCGGACGTGCTAGCTGCTTTGCATGTCATTGAATCCAATCGGTTTAATGTTGATGAAGAAAATTTCAATTTTAGACATTTTTTACCATTTTTAATTCCTCTCTGCTATTTTCAACAAATTATATTGAATAATAAAATGAAAAAACTTCAATAACTCAACAAAAGCGATCAAATGAGATATAATTACTGCAATTCCAACGAATAACAAACGCTTTTTAAAATGGCTTATAAGTGTAAAGACAAGTCCTATCTATTAATTTTCAAACTATAGAAAAATCGAACCAAAGTGGAAATTTAGATAAAACATGAATATCATATCTTCACGGTTAAATCGGCATAACTCTCTAAAAATCGGTTGAAATCACATAGCTGGCGTTTTTCCCGCAGCTTATTTAATGGGCTTTCGAATGAGTATACAATATATTACCTCAATATGAAAGGAAGAGAGCAATTGTCCCAAGAATCGAAGAAAAAGGGAACGCTACGCACACAATTAATTTACTTATGGATTCATTCTCACTCTTGCTGTCTGATTATAATAATAATTATTGTTATCATTATTAGGACTCTCATGGTGAGATAATTCATATTTATTTCGGTGATCTCAGGGTCAGGTAAATTCGAAGTGATCGAAGGTGGTGCAGCAATCGTCACTGGAGTTGTTCGAACCACAATAGATGTTCAATCCGAACAAATAAAAATATCAGCGAGTGAAGATGAACCTGAACCCCTGGAGGCCAAAGATGTATACAAAGAGTTTAGATTACGTGGGTATCAGTACTCTGGATTATTCCGGGCTATTAAGAGTGCCAATTTGGATGGGACCAAGGGGACAATCCGCTGGAACAGCAACTGGGTAGCATTCATGGACAATATGCTGCAGATGAGGCTGTTGGGACTCGATACGAGGAATCTCCTCGTGCCTACAAGGATTCAGAAGCTTGTGATTGATACTAAGGAACACTCTCGACAGATTCGATCACTGCCGTATGATGAACAAGGTAAAATATAATTAGAATTTTACTGCAATAATCCGTTCCGTTTTCGATTTCTATTGACAACTTTCAAGATTTCAAACTTTCTACATTTTTCGGTCTTTTAAAAAATATAGTTAATTGGAAAAATCTGTAGATTTCGTTGACGATTTTTTGCTCTATTCATCGCGATTTCTCGTCTGATAATTGAGGTTGAGTGTTTCTCAAATTTGAGAAATCTTATTCTAATTCTTAGAGTTTTTCTTTCTGTGAATAACATCTCCTAAAGACTTCTTAATTTTTTAAACAAATTCTTTTCATCATTCTGTTTTGATATTTCTTTTTCATTCGACAAAACGAAGAACATGAATTGATTTTACAATAGAAATCCGCTAGGAGTCTATTCAATTTTCTTTATGAACATATAGCTATTAAAATTTCGGTTATTGGATTCTTAAATAGAACTCAAGGTTTACGTGAGCAGAAAACACGACACGATAACTTCCGGAGGAATTCAGATACGTGGATTACAGGCGAGTTCGATATCTCGAAGAAAACCAGCAGGTGAACCAGTTCTGGAAACGTACAGATTTATACCTCACAGAGATCTGGGGAGCGAAATCTCATTTAAAGACGCGATTCGTCTGGCAGTACATCTCTCTTTGGAGAACCACCTCAATATTAAAGTTAAAACATTAGAATTCCTAGAAAAGGGTGAAAAATATTCCTCCGAAGATCTCTTCTCCGTCAACATCGCAGAAATACTGGCAGATCTTCCAATGATTCAATCAGACGTAAACATAGTCACAGCAGAGAATCCCTTCGAAGAAGATTCACCTCAAAACATCAACGTGATAGAACCCAAGAAATTGTCCTCAGACACCAATACTCTACTGCTAGTTGCTCGAGATTTTCTCTCACCCAAAAAAAGTGCAACATTGACACACTACCTATCAACTCTGAAAGACGGGGGCTTTATCCTCTCACTGGAGTCCTCATCGCCAGAGGACATTGATCTATCCCTGAAGAAATACTCTCTCCATCTAATATCCGAAAGAACAGTCACTGGCTCCAGACTTGTCCTTCTCCGTAAAATGGAAAAAATTCCCAGAAAGTCTGTTCTCATTTACGTCAGTAACAAAGAATTTACGTGGCTTGACAACTTAAAAGCAGTATTGCAGGCAGAAACTGAGCGCGAGCTATCAGGGGCATCTAGAATTCTGCTGATAAGCGATAAGACATTTGAGAATGGTCTTCTGGGTTTTGTTAATTGTCTCCGAAGGGAGCCCGGTGGAGAGATCGTTCGGGCGGTGGTGATCCAGGACTCAAGTGCTCCCGATTTTTCACTTTCCGAGCCTCTCTATGCTGAGCAAATGAAGCTAGACCTTGCCGTTAACGTTCTGAGACCAGGAGGTAATTGGGGATCATACAGACATCTTCCTCTTCCAGTTCTGACAGAACGTTTGAGTGATCATGTCTGGGCAAATCAACTTGTCAAAGGCGATTTGACCTCGTTCCGATGGATGCAAGGACCAATCACACCAAACTTCAAGGACTCTGATCTCATCAATGTCGTCTATTCACCGATCAACTTCAAGGACGTCATGATTGCTACGGGAAAATTGAATGCCGATGTCTTTGTAAAAACTAGAAGTGCAGCAGAGTGTCTCCTAGGATTTGAGTATGCTGGAATAACATCTAGTGGCTCCAGGGTAATGGGTATCATCAATTCGTATGCTATGACCAATCTGTTGGTTCATGATCCCAATTTAACTTGGCGAGTGCCAGATTCGTGGACTCTGGAAGAGGCAGCCACTGTGCCGTGTGTTTATGCCACCTGCTGCTATTCTCTTTATCTCCGGGCAAACATGAAGAAGGGAGATAAAGTACTGATTCACGCTGGATCTGGTGGTGTTGGTCAAGCAGCTATTCATCTCGCCCTGTCGACTGGTTGTGAAATTTTTACGACTGTTGGCACTCCAGAGAAGAGGGCATTCATTCACAAGACATTTCCGCAGATTCCTGATGATCACATTGGGAATTCCAGGGATACGAGTTTCGAGCAGATGGTGATGAACAAGACAAATGGATATGGAGTTGATATTGTTCTTAATTCACTAGCTGAAGATAAGCTGCAGGCGTCAGTAAGATGTCTAGCTGAAGGAGGTAAATTCTTGGAGATCGGAAAGTTCGATATGGCTAATAATAGCCCTTTGGGAATTTCTGCTTTCTCCAAGGGGATTAGTTTCTATGGAGTATTGGTGGATAAAGTATTTGAGGCACCTCTGGAAAAAAGAGAAGAGCTGCATAGATTAATGCAAAAAATTCTCGATGAAGGGGCCATCAGGCCGTTTAATGCTACTGTATTTCCCAGAGAGCAAATTGAATCGGCTTTTAGGTACATGGCTGCTGGTAAACACATTGGAAAGGTAAGTGATACATCGGGAAATTAATATGGGAAGAAAAGTAAATCGTTACTGAAAAGGTAAATCGTTTGATTTCAGGTTGTCCTTAAGATTCAAGATGAAAAAAGTTTGGGAAAGAGAATTCCTGCTTCTCCGCGATATTATTGTCGCAGAGACCGTTGTTACTTAATTCTAGGGGGTCTCGGTGGGTTCGGCCTCGAATTAGCTGATTGGCTGATTTTTCGAGGAGCAAGACACTTGGTTCTCACTTCTCGTTCAGGTATCAAAAGTGGCTATCAACGGATAAGGATTAAACTGTGGAGAAGTTACGGTGTCAATGTCACTATCATCACTGGAAAGGAAGCATCCAAGGAAAAGGATTGCGAAGAAATTCTTTCGATAGCTTCGAAACAGGCACCAGTGGATGCGATTTATAATCTCGCCGTCGTCCTGAAAGACAGTCTTTTGGAGAATCAAACAGCAGAGATGTTTGAGGAGTCGTTCAAAGCCAAAGCTTGGAGCACAAGAAATATTGATGAACTTTCTAGAAAATTGTGTCCACAACTTCGGTATTTTGTTGTCTTCTCTTCAGTCTCCTGCGGTCGTGGAAATGCAGGGCAAACCAATTATGGAATGTCCAACTCTGTTATGGAGAGAATCTGTGAAAGACGGGCTGCTGAGGGCCTTCCTGCACTGGCAATTCAGTGGGGAGCTGTTGGAGACGTTGGTCTCGTTGCAGATATGCAGGAAAATGACAAAGAGCTCGTGATTGGAGGTACTCTCCAGCAGAGGATAACATCCTGTCTTCACGAACTCGATGGCTTCCTCAATCAAACCTCTCCAATCGTTGCGAGCATGGTGGTAGCTGAAAAGAGAGCTGGTGGCTCTGGTTCTCTGAATGTCGTTGATACTGTGCTCAATATCATGGGTTTCAAAGATCTGAAATTAGTTGGACATCATACGTCACTGGCTGAACTGGGGATGGACTCGATGATGGCTGTGGAGATCAAGCAGACGTTGGAACGGGAGTTTGAGATTTTTCTAACAGCTCAAGATATTCGCAACCTGAATTTCGCCAAATTGATTGGTATGAACTCGAGAGATACTGAGCTGAAGAGAATGATTGAGGACACGAGGGAGGAAGAGGAACTTATAGGGATGAAATTACTGATTAGATTGCTTGGAGAGGAGGAGGCAATGAACGAGACTTGCTTAAAATTATCCACGGGACTGACGAGTGGACAACCTGAGGTGTTTTTCATTCCGGGACTTGAAGGTTGCGGTGCTGTATTTATGAAATTGGCAAAGAACATTAAAGCTCCTGCGACTTGTCTACAATTAAATAATATGGGGACACAGTATCTTTCTATTCGGGATATGGCACGTCTATTATTGCCGGTGAGTGATATATCAGCAAAAAAATCGATTACTGCCAAAATGACACTCGAAAAATTCATTACTTTTGAAAAGTTGTTAGAATACTTCTGAAAAGTATATTTATTATGACTTCCCATGACTTCCCATGACTTCCCATACGTAAAGAAATTGCGAGGATGGAAGATTTCTGTTCATACTTATTTTTAAAAGTACTTTCTTAACTAATAAGTAGTAATTAATTTTTAAATCGTAGATAAACAGAAAATTGATAATATCCTCATATTATGTTACATTTCCAGTACATGTTGAAGAGAAATCGTGAAACGCGGCACTTCATAATTGTTGGATACTCGTATGGATCACTCATTGCTATTGAACTCATGAGACAATTGGAAGCCAAAGACTTCAGTGGAAAATTAATTCTAATCGACGGCGCTCCACTCTATATGAAATCCATCAAAGATCAACACTTGAGAGCAGATAACGACGAAGAACTCCAAACAAATGTTCTCATCGGAATGGCCGATGCTGCTCTATCTGAAGGAAGTATCGCACTGTTAGCGGATCTTAAAAAATGTAAATCTTGGGACGAAAAGTTGAACGTTTTTATGGAACGCACGCAGACTGATACTCTGGAAATCTCCGTTGAGCAACGACGGAATATTTGTACCTGCATTTACAATCGATTACTTGCACTTGATCATTACGATATTTCTAGTGACGCTCCTCTGAAATCTCCAATTACTCTTCTGAAACCAACACAGGAGGCTCTAAAGAATTTACCTGTAGATTACGATCTCCGCAAGGTAAATAAGCTAACAGTTATTTCGATAGAAATTCACAAAGAATTCGCAAATATTGGAGGAATAATTTCGCAATTTAATTTTTTAGGTAACGAGGGAGAAGGTCCTGTGTCGGATTCTAGAGGGAAATCATCTGACGATTATTGATAATCCGGAGGTAACAGACATTATAAATAACGAGGAAATTCAAGAGATGATGCCAGCGAAAACCAGTATCAGTAAACCCGGAGCATTCGTCAATACTATCGATACTATCAATGATACAAATCGTGGGAAGACATTGAGTTAAACAGATTACAATGTTTAATTAATGACAATAAATTTATCGCAAATTTTGACGTTTGTCACTCGATTTCTAGTGCATCGCTTTGTGAAAACGTGTTTCGCTCATTTTACGCTAAGCAAATAGTGTCAGAACCAATCCAATGGTTGTCTGAAAATTAATAAAGATAAATTGTTTGATATACTTTACTTGCATTACAACATTCAGCATTACATTTTATACAATATTGATTCGTTTTATCAGTATAAAAATGTCGAAAAACAACAAATATGGATTCTAATATAATTTTGAAAAAAACGACTATATTTTCTGAAGAACCGGCTGTAAAAACCAATCCTCCGACTATTTTGAGAGATCCCAATAGAGTTCAACATATTCCGCTAGATATTCTACCGAAGAATTACTCAAAATCTGTGAGAATTCCTTACCTAGGAAAATGAAAAATTGTAACTCTCGAGAATCAAGTTTAATCAATGTCAGAAAACGTAATATTCAAATGTTTAGAGTATTATCATCAATCAGCGGAAGTCATTAACTATATTTTGATTTCGATTGCGTTGCTGAGAATGTTAATAGTAATAGAGTTAACCCGGAAGGGCAATGACATCATTCTATACGGCATTCTATACGGCATAGGTACGACAAATAAAATTAGTATAAGAAAATTATTATTATTATTATTTTTAATATAACGAATGAATATAGCAGGACAGTTATTCTTTCCGAGAAAAAAAAACATTTTTTTGCAGATGTTCAAACACTCGAAGAGGGTAGAACAACAAAAACCAATGAAACTAGAAATGTTAAATATTTCTCCTCCTAGGACAAAAATAAGTATTTTTCCACTCTAGGTCGTGAACGATCAATTTTCCGTACACTCTCCAAGAAGGGAAATACCGACTTTCTGGACAGGTAGGTGAAGAAATAAATGTTCTTGAAAATAAAATGTATCAAATTGCGTCCATTCATTAGTTAATTTATCCTAGGCGGTAGCGGAATCATAGGAGGAGCTCCAGTGGATATCATGACATTAAGACGAGAAGAGAAGCCATAATGAACTCTTACATTCGTAAAAACTTATGCGAATTGCTGAATCACGTACACTTTTCGTTAGTACTTATATGGTACGCATCGAGTTGAGTTAAATTGCATCAAAGTACAAAATTCGAATAAATGTGCTGTATTCCTAAAACCCGAGTCTTCATTGTATCCGTCTACCAAATTATGTGTGGAATATATATAAATAAATGTATGATACATACGATGTGTATATTCAACATACAGACGCATACCTGCCACATTATTCTGCATAAACTTCTCGACTTATGCATTATGTACTTATGCATTATTTTTTGCCACATTGTATATACGAACAATATATTCATTATGGACACAGCAATCACTCAACTGTATATCAAATAAACATACGATTATCTATGTATTAATCTAATTCATGTACGAATATTGAACCAATAGTCGTGTAATGCCCCCCTCCCCCCACTATAATTACCCGAATTCATCAATTACCGGTCCATTTCCAATTAATTAAATTTCTCCTCAATCGACACCTCTCCCCGTGTGTCGGCAGTTATGCCCTTCAATGATTTCCTATCCTAAAAAGGATAAACATCGAGACTATAAATATCTCGAAACTCTATCACGCTTATTCCTCATTGATTCAGTCATCTGAGGCGGCTAATTTGAACTTGGAACTCATTTAAATTAACAATTTTTAATCACGATTTTTATAATTACAGGGCGCTGTTGCGCGCGTTCGTTCTCGTGTCACCGAGAGTCTCAATAAATTTCTTCGATGCCTCACGAGACGACACCATGTCCTCAAACAAAGGCTGAAGGTCAACAACAAGGCCCTCAAAGATTATCAAGACAAATGAAAATTGTCCCACACTTGCAATAATCCAAATGCCCCCCAACATCCTTTGTCTTATCACAAGCTCACTGCAAGATTCACTAAATACGTTCTTTCCCTCGGTTTTCTACACGTTTGTCGTCAACACCGGCGGTTTTGTTTGACGATCCGCGTGTTATAATGTCCACGCTCTTATACCCGGCGATTTCCGTGGAATTTCACGCTCTGAAAGTAGCCGGGCACCTCGCTCGCCGAAAAGCGAGAGAACAATGGACTACGTCAGAAAATGGTGGGACGTCGGAGACCCCACGCATGCGCACAAGAGGCTACGAGCATTGCCATGCGCAGACACTCCAAACGTATGCGCCTGCGCCTGAACAGAACGACGCGGGACCGTGATAAAAGAATTTCATTCGCGTTTGCTAAACCGCCAAAACTTCCGGATCCCGCCATTTTATTAGGCGGCAAAACGTTAGAAAAATCAGACTTTTTCCCGGTTTTTTGTGGGGGAGTGGACACGACGTAGCGTTAATAACATCCTCGATTATTAACGACATTGTTTTTGGTGCAATATTGCTTTGTGGAAACCGAAAATCATCGGTGGACTGTGTTAATATCCGGGGAAAAAAATCGTGAGTGTGGGTCGGTGTCGTGTGGGAATTTCAGGGTTTTTAGCAAGAAATCAGTGTGGTCCTGGTGGATATTTTTTGTGGCGTGCTGTGGCAATTTCAGTGTTTTTTTCAAGTGACAATGTTGAGGTTGGTGATCAGGGTGCTCTTGCTTGATATTTGTTTGGATCCCGACAATATCGTTGAGGATGTCTAACCCTCAGAATCTGTGAGAAAAATCACGATGTGTCCTGGGTGGATATATTTGTGGATCCAGAGAATATTGTTGAGGATGTGTTTTACAAGTGATGACCATTGAGGATGTATACCCCTCAGGATGGGTTTTACAAGTGATAATTATTAGTGGAGAGTGTTAATTTCGTGGAAAATAAAATGGTGAGGATGGATTTGTGGCGTGCTGTGGAAATTTCAGTGTTTTTTTCAAGTGACAATTTTGAGTTGGTGATATTGTTGAGGATGCCTACCCCTCAGAATCTGTAAGAAAAATCACGATGTGTTCTGGGTAGATATATTTGTGGATCCAGAGAATATTGTTGAGGATGTGTACCCCCTCAGGATGTGTTTTACAAGTGATGACCATTGAGAATGTATACCCCCCGGATGTGTTTTACAAGTGATGATTATTAGTGGAGAGTATTAATTTCGTGGAAAATA